GGAAAGAAAGGGAATGGGGAGCACATGAGGAAGTTAAGGAGGGAAGAGTGAACAGGCAAAAAAATCCCTCAAAGAAGTTATAACAGGAAAGGAAATTCAGGGAAGAAGCCATAGATGCCAGGAGCAGTGAAGGGAGATATAAGAATGAAGAGAAAATTAGAGAAGCAACCACAAAAGGGGAAGTAGAGGGACTTACAGCACAAACTGTAGAGCCAAGTAGATCCAGGGTCACTCCACCAAGAAAGCAAAAAATCTAAAAGAATGTGCACCAAAGAACAGGGCTACAAAATATGTGCAACAAAAACTGATAAAACTGAAAGGAGAAGTAGACAAATTCCTAAGGTTGAGAACAAGGCATAGATGTTCACTTTATTCAATATAATGCTGAAACTTCTTGTCAGTGCGATAAAGGAACACACAAAAATGAAAGGCATACATCTTATTTTTTTAAGATTTTATTTATTCATGAAAGACAGAGAGAGAGGGAGAGAGAGAGAGAGAGAGAGAGAGAGAGAGAGGCAGAGAAACAGGCAGAGGGAGAAGCAGGCTCCATGCAGGGAGCCCGACATGGGACTCCATCCTGGGTCTCTAGGATTGCACCCCGGGCTGCAGGTAGCGGTAAACTGCTGCGCCACTGGGGCTACCCTAAAGGCATAACTCTTAGAATTAATAATAGTTCAGCAGGGTTTCAAAATACATGATAAACATGCACAAACCAATTATATATCTATTTACTGGTGATAAACTGGCTTCTATTATATCCATGTGTTTATTGCCACCAAAATTTGAAATATGATACTATTAATAATCACTCAAAACTTTTAAATAGGTAGGTAGAAACCCAACAAAACACACAGAAGATTTGTATGCTAAAACCTATGTAATGCTGATGAGAGAAGTCAAAGAAGCTCTAACTAAATAGAGAGACATACCATGTTCATGAATTTACTATATAGATATAGTAAATATGTCACTTCTTCCCAAGTTAATAAACAGATTTAAATGGGAAGATTCAATACAATTCTTGTGAAAAATCCTAGAAATACTTTTTGTAATTATAGACAAGATTATTCTAAAGTTTCCGTCGAAATGCAAAGGAACTAAATGGCTAAAGCAATTTTGAAAAAGAAGAATCGGGGGGGGGGGGTGCCTGGCTGGATCAGTCAGGGAAGCGTGCAACTCTTGATCTTGGGGTTGTGAGTTCAAGTCCCATTTTGGGCGTAGGGATTACATAAGAATAAAGTCTTAAAAAAAAGAGAAAGAATCATGTGGGGAGAGGTAGTCTGCTCACCTTCTATTATATAGCTACTGCAATCAAGGCCATGGGATATTGGCAGATAGAAGAGTTCCACGTAATTATGTCAACTGATCTTTGGCAAAAGTGCAAAAGCAACTTAATGGAGGAGAGATGGACTTTTTGACAATGTTTCTGGACAAAACAACAACAGCAACTTTAACATAAATCTTACACTTTACCAAAATGTAGCTCAAAATGGATCAAGAACTTAAAAGTAAAAATAAAACAATAAAAATTTTAGGAAAAGAAGGGCACTTGGTTGGCTCAATCAGTTAGGCAGCCAACTCTGGATTTTGGATCAGGTCATGATTTCAGGCTCCTTGATCAGCAGGGAGTTGGCTTCAAAATTCTCTCTCCCTCTGCCCCTACTCCTGCTCTCTCTAAAATAAATAAATAAATCTTTTTCAAAAAAATTTTAGGAGAAATTTTCAGGATAAAGATCTAGACGTGGGAGAAGATATTTGCAATGACCTATCAGACAAAGGGCTAGTATCCAAGATCTATAAAGAGCTTATTAAACTCAACAGCAAAGAAACAAACACTCCAATCGTGAAATGGGCAAAAGACATGAACAGAAATTCCACCAAAGAAGACATACACATGGCCAACAAGCATATGAGAAAATGCTCTGCATCACTGGCCATCAGGGAAATACAAATCAAAACCACAATGAGATACCACCTCACACCAGTGGGAATGGAGAAAATTAACAAGACAGGAAACAACAAATGTTGGAGAGGATGTGGAGAAAGGGGAACCCTCTTGCACTGCTGGTGGGAATGTGAACTGGTACAGCCACTCTGGAAAACTGTGTGGAGGTTCCTCAGAGAGTTAAAAATAGAACTGCCCTACGACCCAGCAATTGCACTGCTGGGGATTTACCCCAAAGATACAGATGCAGTGAAACACCGGAACACCTGCACCCCGATGTTTCTAGCAGCAATGTCCACAATAGCCAAACTGTGGAAGGAGCCTCGGTGTCCATCGAAAGATGAATAAAGAATAAAGAAGCTGTGGTCTATGTATACAATGGAATATTACTCAGCCATTAGAAACGACAAATACCCACTATTTGCTTCGACGTGGAAGGACCTGGAGGGTATTGTGCTGAGTGAAGTAAGTCAATCGGAGAAGGACAAAAAGTATATGGTCTCATTCATTCGGGGAATATAAAGATTAGTGAAAAGAAATAAAGGAGAAAGGAGAGAAAATGAGAAATGAGTGAAAATATCAGTGAGGGTGACAAAACATGAGAGACACCTAACTCTGGGAAATGAACAAGGGGTAGTGGAAAGGGATATGGGTGGGGGTTGGGGTGACTGGATGATGGGCACTGGGGGGGGGCACTTGGCGGGATGAGCACTGGGTGTTATGCTATATGTTGGCAAATTGAACTCCAATATAAAAAAAGGTTAAAAAATTAATTAATTAAAAAAAAAAGATCTAGACATAGAGTTCCTAGACTTGACACCAAAGGCACAATCCATAAATGGAGAAGCTGTTAAATTGGACTTCATCAAAATTAAAGACTTTTCTTCTGTGGAAAACTCTATTAAGAATATAAAAAGATAAGCTACAGAGTGGGAGAAATATTCGTAAACCACATCTCTGACAAAGGGCTAATATTAAAGAGCTCTCAAAACTCAACAATGGGGCAGCCCAGGTGGCCCAGTGGTTTAGCGCCGCCTTCAGCCCAGGGCCTGATCCTGGAGACCCGGGATTGAGTCCCCCGTCGGGCTCCCTACATGGAGCCTGCTTCTCCCTCTACCTGTGTCTCTGCCTCTCTCTCTCTCTCTCTCTCTGTCTCTCATGAATAAATAAATAAAAACTTAAAAAAAAAAACCTCAACAATCAAAAAGCAACCCATTTAGTAAGTAAGCAAAGACCTGAGCAAGAATTTCATGGGAAAGGACTCTCTAGGTCAAATAAGTACATGAAAAAATGTTCAAATGTTCAGCCTCATTAGACATTAGAAAAATGCAAATTAAAATCATAATGAAATGTTACTATGCATCTATTGAAATGGCTGAAATTAAAAATAGTGGCAACTCCAAATCCTGGCAAGGATGTGGGAGAACTGGATTACTCATCACTGCATTGCTGGTGGGAGTGCAATAACCAGCTACTCAGGAAGACAGTTTTGCGGTTTCCTTAAACATTAAACATGCAATTACTTTATTCAGCAATCACACTCCTGAGCATGTTTCCTAGAATAATGAAAACTAACCTTCACAAAACATCTGTACATTAATGTTTGTAGGAGCTTTGTTCATGATAGTCAAAAACTTTAAACAACCTAGATGTCCTTCCATGGATGAATAATTGACCAAACTCTACGTACCTCCATACCATGGAAATACTGCTCTGCAATTTTTAAAAAGATGGTCTTTTTCTCTACACAAAAATCTCGATGAATCTCCAGAGAAATATGATGAATTAAGAAACAAATCCCAAAAGGTTACATACTGTATGGTTCAACTTATGTAATATTCTTGAAATGAAAAGGTTATAGAAATCTCTTTAGGAAGGGAATGGGAGTGGGAGCAAGCAGATGTGACTATAAAGGGATAACATGAGGGGTCCTTGTGATTATGGAAATATTCCGTATCTTGACCACATCAATGCCAATGTCTAGTTTGTGATATTGTACAGTTTCACAAGGTGTTACTTTGGAGGAAACAGGGTGAAATGTACAAGAGATCTCTGTATTATTTCTTAGAATTACATGTTAATCTCTAATTATCCTTTTAAAAAAGTTTAAAGAAAAGTAAATTTAATATTTCATGATCTCTCTGATAGCTTCTGCACTGTTTCTGTTTAAGCCCCCATTCATCAGAGGGCGGGACCTCCCTGTTTCCTTAGATGTGAGTTTCAGGAGGGTTAACATGATGCCAGTCCCGGGTTTGGAGTCATCATCTGTTCTGGTGTCTACCCAGAGTAGCATCCAGCCATCTGTCCACCTAGGACACTGCTCTATCCTCTTCGCTTTTGTGGCTGATGGTTCCATTCCAGTGCTCCACTAGTTATTTCTCCCAGTGGGCTGCGGGAAAACTTCAAAGACCATCTTGGGTCTATTTGGCAGACACACCCAGTGGATATTCCCACTCCACAAGCCGAGGGGCTGGAGGAGCTCGAGGACTATGCCTGGGCACTGGGGACACGGGTCTCCTTTGTTTTAAGTTTCCTCAGCTTTTCTGGCATCCCTCAGCTGTATCAAGGATGAAACAGAGGATTTGATGGTGCATGGTTAAGTGACCACACAGTGCACGTTGTGGTCTCTTGTGTCCCCACGTGACTCCAGGTCCAGTTGGTGGCTAGGGAAGGGCTTTGGACCCCTTGTCATGTATCCACAGCCATCCAAATACTCTTTGCTTCCTTTTGGATTCTTCTCTCCCGCAATTTAAATTTATCTACCCAGAGGAAAGTGTAGGACAGTGGATATATTCTTCCAAATCCTATGTCTTAGGTCTGGTCCTCACATTTTTCTCTCTTTGGTTTGGTTCTCAGCATTCTGCTAAATCCTTCTCCTGGGAGAATAGCATGGAATCCCTTTGTTGCCACTAGAATTGGTCAGATTAACAGGACACATGGAGGCAAATCCTCTGGTCATTACATCATACATCATACATCATACATCCTGTGACATTTTCTACCATCTTTCTGTCCTCGGCCTACTTACTCTCCAGCTTGTCTTTCCCTTCAGCTTGTCGCCCAGGTCCTGGAGCATAAAGATATAGGCTTTGTGATGGTGGATGCCAAGAAAGAAGCCAAGCTTGCCAAGAAGCTGGGTAAGTGGGACTTTTTGAGGTCTACCAGGGAAAAAAATCAATGTGTCTTGCAAGAAAAGTACAGTTTAATTTCTTCATGCATGATGACTGGACTATTTTAAAATGAATACAAAATGACTCTGCACACCTTAGGCCTGGGTGGGGAAGAGTTTCGTGAAAGCAGTATCATGTGAATTATTTCACATGAATGATCTAATATATATTTGTATCATTGTAGAAACTGATGCCAAAGAGTTAAATCTTTCTTTTTTGGCTCCTAGAGAAGGTTAAAAGCCTAACCTTTTTATCTGACTGCTGTGGTGATCTCTCTGGGGGAGAGAAAAATCCTTTCTTCCATCACCTATTATTTCTTTACCCCTTGGCTGAAGCAGCCAACACAACATAGCATTAATAGTAGTGACTCTGAGGTCCCAGTGGTTTCTAAATGTAAAGCTAAACCCCAGCTGGGCATTATCATTAAGATCGAGAGGGAGGATTCAGATGAGGCATGGTTAAGTGACCATGCAGTGCATGTTGTGATCTCTTGTGTCAATAAATCATGTTTAAGTGCAAGTGAGTTTTCAGATTCTCACACCCCTAATCCCAAGGAGAGAGAGTATGGGTAGCTCCTCTGCTTTCTGAACACTCACACATGTGTACTGTCCATTTTGCCTTTTCTGCATGACCAGTGAAGAATGGCTATTTAAAAAGAGCAAAGGGTTATAAACCAGGACCTTTGAAGAAAGGTTAATTGGATTTGGAGTAGTAAACACAGAGGGAAAAAAAAAAGATTAGTAGTGGCATCAGGTACGTGAAAGTTCATTATCTTAGGGCATTACAAACAATTGTTCTCTATTTTATTTTCAAGAAGACCAGCTTTTTTTTTTAAGAATTAAATTTTACAAGACTGTATTTAGATTAGACTAAGAAGAACTCATGACTGTAAAATGATAATGAATTATTAAGGATGTCTGGGGTATCTTTTTCCCTGGAGACAAATTAAGGAATATTTTTTCCTTTGAGCAGGAAAACAAGGTATGTTAAACTCTTTCCCTAGTCAAAAGCAACTCAGTGACTTGTTTCTCTTCTCCTAGAACCAATTGATTCCCTAGTTTTCTTTCCTATTGTTTTCATGGGAAGCTGAATTTGGGAGAGTTTCCAGTAAATTTAGTTAGAGGAAAATACTAGTGTTCTCATGATCTAAAGATTTAGAGAGGACACGCTGGGCAAACTTTCAAAAGAATGGACCAGTGGTTATTCTCCCAATGGATAGAACTTGAAAAATCTACATGAACTTTTCTCCAAGCTCAGCCTGGAGGAATTGAGGCAGGTTCTTTTGGACTATTTGGTTCTTAGAGCTTACAGGACAATTATAGTTTGTGAACCTGCTCCTTCATCTTCACCTGCTCTTTCATTTGCCTGAGTTTCATCTCCATCAGGCTATGCTGAAAAAGCCTCCTACCTGATTTCACTCAGAGCAAAATCCGACATCAGAACACTGGCTGATGTTCTGAAGGTAACCTTCATGATCGGTCATTGCTGACATCAAGGAAACCTGGTACATTGGCCCTTTGGATTTACAAATGGTGCTCCGGGATATGACCAGAGCTCTTCAGAGGTGCATGGGACACAGCAGGCAGTGGACCAGCCTCCCTTTCCCTAGAGGTTCTGCAAGAGAGTTCATTTGGAGAAAGCATCCTCCAGCTAATAGAAAGCTCGAAAACAATTAGTCTAAGGAATTAAGGATGCCATGCAGTTGGACTAAATGCTAGTCCCAGTTATTTAGCATTCCTGGGGGGGAAACACTGTTTTCCAGCAAACATTTGTTAAAGCACACAGCATTACACCAGGAGCAATGGAGGGTAGAAAAGATGTAGAACCTTCCCTGGTGGCATCATCAACAAAGTGGGAAAAGAAGATGTGCAGAATTCAGCTATGATTGAAAAGTAAGCTGTTTGTTCTGGCCACAGACATTTATGATGTACCTGATGTGTCCAGCCTCTGTAAAAGGTCCTGGGGTACCAAGGTGACAGTGGTGCTGCCTTTGGAGAGCTTTCTGTTCCAGTGAGTACTGTAAATAGAACCAAGAGAAGAGCAGTAGTGACAAGAGGGTGGCCTTCTTGGGAAAAATAAGTCCTAAGCTGAGACCCAAAGGAACTGACCAGGATGGGGGCACAGGGGTAGAAGTGACCAAATTTGGGCAACCAGGAGAACATCTGTGACTTTTCCTGTGAAGGGCAGGATTGGCGTTATGTTGCAGAGGGACTGGAATGCCTGGGTAAGAAGTCAAGTGGGCAGGGGGCAGTGAAACTTTTGATAGGGAGAATAGGGTTGGCAGTATTTTTGGAAAATTAAAGCAGTGGTAGAGTAGAGAACAGATTTTTCTTTCAAGTTAAAGTCCAGGTGGAGCTGGTGGTTCTTAACTATTTCAATTTAAATGTGTACTTCGGAAGCCCATTGCAGGCATGGTTTCAAGGGAACTGATCCTAAGTTTAATGCTAGCTCCACTGGTCCTGACCCCACTGTCACCCAAGAATCCTGAGCCAGACCTCAGCCCACAGGATGGCTCTTCTTGCATCAGAATGACCTTGTCTCAGGGACTCTTTGTTTCTTCCAGGTTTTGATGAAGAAGGAAGCCTGTATGTTCTTAAGGGTGATCGCACGATTGAGTTTGATGGCGAGTTTGCAGCTGACGTCTTGGTGGAATTTCTCCTGGATGTAAGCATTTATGTACAGTGGCCCTGCATGGAGCTGTTTGGGTTCAAATGTATGGGGAAGTAGCATCCTAAAATAAGAACAGAGAAGCTAGGTAATCTGTCCTAGTCTAAGACCAATTCCTCGTGCTTCATAAAAAACTAAGGAGTGCCTATTTCACAGTGGTGTTTTCTTTCTTTCTTTTTTTTTTTTTTAAAGATTTTATTTATTTATTCATGAGAGACAGAAAAAGAGAGGCAGATACATAGGCAGAGGGAGAAGCAGGCTTCTCGCAGGGAGGCCCGATGAGGGACTAAATCCCAGGACCCTGGGATCACAACCTGAGCCGAAGGCAGATGCTCAAGCATGGAGCCACCAAGGAGCCCCCACAGTGGTATTTTCTTCTACTGGGAAGCTAGTCCTTAAGTTACCTTAGAAACTGTTTTATTAGTGACCAGAGGGTTATGAATCGTGTAGTGTAGTAGTAACCCATGAATTCTCTTAGCAATTATACACCACCATGCCCTGAAATACCCTTGGCTTTGTTCCAGCACTTCTGGAAGGGGGTTTAAGAGAGTGGGAAAGAGAGGTGGATAATCACCTGGAGATGCAGTAACAATCAGTTGAGTTACCCTCAGAATAGAATAAAAAGAGACGGGGCTAATGAGCCCCCCAATATCACACTCCCTCCCAGCATGGAGGTCTTAGATCCACCTGCTTAGGCAGATAGAGGAACAAACACCATAAAAATATGTTATCCATAGATAAACGCACACTTTCAATAATAGCTGTGAAGCTGACTGCTTTTGAACAGATTCCTGTACAGGTAAATGACATCCCTCCTGATGATTCCCTGTCTACCAGCTAGCGCACAGGGTCTGTTGCCTTTTCCTCACAGCCTCAAAAACCCAGGGAGAGTGAGTCAGAAGTGAGTTGAAGGCCACCTTTGCAAAAAAACACCCATAGACTCTGCTTGGCTCTCTCCTGGACTCAAACCTGCAAGCCCTCAAAAAAAATGAGGGAGGCAACAAAAGCCTGACACTGTCCCATCTCTATCAGCTAAGTGGAGGCTCTTAGATGCACAGAACAGAAATCATGCTCAACCACCTGAACCAAAAAGCACAAATAGAAGAGCAGAGTGAGTACAGATTTTAGACTTATTGATGAATCATAGGTAATGCTTTATGTGTGGTTTTTGCTCAAGCTGACTCTTCTCAAGTTGGCTATAAGATAACCAGTGACTGGAGTTGACATGTCACATCTCCTCATTCATATCCAATGTGTGTGGGGGTGTGAAGTGGGGGAGAGGATCTGGCTTCCACTGTTCTCTTAAAAGGAAAGGAGAACTTTCCTAAAGCTTTCGGGCAAATCTGCCCTACAGAGTCATTGGCCAGAATTGGGTCACATGCTATTCCTAAATCAATAATGGACAAGAGAAGTAGAACTTGCCTAGTCTCGGCCTACCCCTTGAGTTAAGCCAGTTCCTCAGAAGGCTCTGCTGCTGGGCATACTGGGGGAAGATGGGATCCACAGCTTGCTGCCAAAGTGTCCTACGTGTGGGCCTGGTTTCTCACTGAGGAAGGAACGGTTCTCTTACTGGGAAATATTTCGTGTGTGTGTGTGTGTGTGGCATTCCAGCTAATTGAAGATCCTGTGGAGATCATCAACAGCAAACTCGAAGTCCAAGCCTTTGAACGCATTGAGGACCAGATCAAACTCATTGGCTTTTTCAAGAGTGAGGAGTCAGAGTGTAAGTTGTCTGTGAGCCCCACCTGTGAGTCTAAAGGATAGATTCCCAACCAGATATGTTAGAATGTTGCTCGTAAAGAGGATGGACCATCAGTATATCCTGTGCTGGGTGGAATAGAGGAAGAATCTTCCTTGTACCCACACAATGGACACATCTATAAAAATTATGCAAAGCAGGCAAGGATACTGGAAGAGCATGAAGGTTGGGCCATGTTCTCTGGTCTTGGGAGGCAGGGGAGCGGTAAATGTTTTACAGAAGAGAGAAAAGTCTTCCTCCCCTTTTTCCACCTGCCCACCTACCAATGGGACTCTCTTCTAAAATAGGCAAATAGTGGGCTCTCTCTCTAATGTTGGCAGCTCCTGTGGCCACCAGTTGGAGAGCATCTCAGCCACGTGGACAGAATAAGAGGAAAATTTGGGTAGGCAGGGCTCAGCAGCCATAGCACAATGTGGACAATTACTGGCCAACCCCACAGCTGACCACCAAGGCTGCCTGCAATAGCACAGCCTCGCCCTTGGGTATAATCCCTTTGAACACTTTGTGGCTAGGTTTTGGGTGGGCACAGAAATGCATCATAGCATCACCACAACCCATATGAAGGCGAGAGAGTGGAGTGTGGGAGTCAGGAAGAGGAGGGACCAAGCAGGCTAATTCCTTGAGTATGTCTTTTTAAACAACTTTGGCAGCATGATTTGATGAGGTAAGCTTTTTTCTGGAGGTTCAGCTTTAGAGAGAAGGAGAGTAAAAGTAGCATTAGTACATGCAGGACGTGCAAAGGAGGGCTGCTCATGATGTTTCTGGAAACTCCAGAATATTTGTAAAATATTTTGAAATTTATTTGTGAAATTGTTTCTTTCCCTATCTGCCAACTGGCACCCTTTGTCTTCTCACCAGCAAGCTGCCTATTTTCTTTCTCCCATGACCAGACTTAGCTGTCTTCTTGTTTGCTATATAAAAGCCTCTACTTACCCCCCTTAAAAGTGTGCTGGGGGGAGATGGCTAGCCAGAGAAGTTTGCCCAGCCCTCCTTTGGGTGACTTCAATTTTTATGTTTTTTATAGATGCTGACTACTCTGGCGTGCTCCACCTGCCCTCTTTTTCTTTCTCCTTAATTTCCTCCTATTTCTCTTTATTTTTTTTTCTGTCCCACCCCTCAATTTGTTTCGTCCTCTGTCTCTTTCCCCTCCATTAAGTTCAGGATAGCAGGTAACAAGCAAGGCAAGGCCAAGATTGGGATAAAGAGCACATCTTCTGGTTCCTATCCTCCCTACTAAGCCAATGACAAAACCAGCTTCGCTTAATCAAACACATGTCATGTGCCAGGGCCTATGCCGGGAGCTCCATATAGATACCTTGCCTTCTTCCTCACTACTAGCCTGTAAAGTAGTTACCATATTATCAGCATTTTGATGAGGAGGAAATGAAAAGAACAAAAAAGTTAAATTAACTATCATACAGCTAGTGAATAAATCCTAGAGCCAAGATTTAAATCCTAGCAATCTGACTTTATAGCTCACACACTTAAACACTGTTTTGTACTTTCAAGACTTTATGTACTGGGATCCCTGGGTGGTGCAGCGGTTTGGCGCCTGCCTTTGGCCCAGGGCGCGATCCTGGAGACCCGGGATCGAGTCCTCCCTCGGGCTTCCTACATGGAGCCTGCTTCTCCCTCTGCCTGTGTCTCTGCCTCTCTCTCTCTGTGTGTGACTATCATAAATAAATAAAAATAAAAAAAAGACTTTATGTACTTTTTTAAGTCATGGCACACACAAAATGTGGTGATGCTTGAATAACCCATGGGGTAAACTAAAAGGGATTTGGACTTAGTGGAAAAACAAAACAAAACATTCTTTTGCTTTATCTACTACCACTACTAACAACAACAACAACAACAATAATAATAAAACAAGATAATAGAAAAGTTATCAATATTGCATTGTATAAATCTTCCAAATAAAATGTTTTTAGAGTTTTTGGGGAAAATGTTGTACTTGCTTCTAAAGCTATAGCTTTTGAAATAATGACATACAACTCCTGGTGAAGAGTTTAAATGATCTTTTCTTGACCATCACAGTCAACAAGAGACTTTGCTTGTACATGTGGATGACAGCAAATGACAGGGCAATAGTCATTGCTTTTTCTTTGATTGAGAAGCGGTCTTTTCTTCCCACTGAACAGAATTTAGGAAATCTAATCTCTAAGTTGTCCTTCAAATATGTGAGCATTCTTTAAGCCCTCATGGCTATTACTCTCCTTTTCATTGAAAACTGTAATATTCTTTGATAATCTGAATAGTTTTCAAATGCAATCAAAATTTCCCATATATTTCAAAATAATATCAAGGCATTTCCTTAGGAATACACAGATAGAGCTCTACTAGTCTTACCATGTTTTTCTGAAGAGTTAAGTAATAAAATCACCAGCGAGCCATGTCAATCTCTTTTTTAATGCTGAATTATTATCTTTAAATTGACGACAGACTTTGTTTTTAGGAAGGTCTACTACCAGATCATGTTAGTAATACTGATGATGATGATGATGATGATGATGATGATAATGATAAAAATAGCAATCATACATTCATTCCATTGATATTAGTAGACAATACAAACATTAGAGTATATTAAATCAAAACAAAACAGAAAGCCCTGAATATTTTACAGTGTGTCACAAACTGAAAAAACATCGCTGATGACAAACTAGCTTGGACTATATAGTCACAATCACACCAACAAAAAGACCCAGTCAGGAAGTCAGGGGAGCTGCCTCTCCAAGGATCTCTCTAGCTGCCATGCTTGCCAACATCTTAGAAAATAATTGTTATAGGATACAAGAAGTTTATAGAAGGAACAATTACTTTCATATATAATATTAACTACTATAGAGTTTTGAATGGTTGTAGAAAACATGTAGAAAGGGTTTTGTTTATGATTTTATTTATTTATTCATGAGAGACACACAGAGAGAGGCAGAGACATAGGCAGAAGTAGAAGTAGAAGCTCCCCACAGGGAGCCCAATGTGGGACTCAATCCCAGGACCCCGGGATCATGTCCTGAGCCCAAGGTAGATGCTCAAACGTGGAGCCATCCATGCATCCCTAGAAAATTTTATCACCACAAAAAATATATGTCTGTTGTGACATACTCCTGGCTGTCACACATGGACTGAAAAGCATCATGATGTTCTCTCAGGCATCCATGTCTCTCTGTTTCTTCTTGCCCTCCAAAAGAGCATGGGGTCTATGGGTAGGGAGTTGGTAAGGTGCCCAGGGAAGCAGTGAAGAATCCGGTATTTCTGCTGTAGTGTGAGGGTGTTTTGTCCAGGAAGTTTAATGGCACAGAGGCACTGGCTTTGGAAAATGATCCCAACCTGTCCTCTAGAGCAAGAATAATGGAGACACAGTGGAGAACTGGAGGGCTTTAATGCATGGGTAGACTGGAATGGTCTTGGGAGAAAAGGCTCCTAAGACATTTGGGATCAAATTAGAAAGGGCTTGGAAGAACTGGGTGGCTACATCTTCCAAGAAAGTCTGGCATAAAGGTTCACATCTGGCTTGAGCATGTAGCTTTGGATGCCAGTGTTGAGAGAGGGTGGCAGGAAATTTCTGAGGGAACTCAGCTGATGGTGAAGAATGCCAAACTGGGAAAAATCTGGAGCTAGGGATGGGAAATATCCAGTATGGAAAACCCTGAGAGATGGGAAGAAAGATGAGGAAATGCTAAGGTAAGTCTGCAATAAGCTGGAGGTTGAAGGCTGGGTCTTCAGGAGCCTATTCCAGGAGGGGAAACTGAGGGTCAGACTAGAAGAGCCAGGAAGGAGCTGGTCACCATCAGAGCAGGACGTGAGGGCAGGAAAAACCTGGGATCACATGAGATCAGGCAGCAGGAGATTAGACCATGTGCCCTACAAGACAACCACTGTTTGGGCAAGGCTCAAGGCTCAACCACAGTTTGAAGTGCCACCGTGGGGAGTTACCTTGCTCTACCCTTTTTCATCTTAAAAGGGCTATACACTGGTTCCCCAGGTGAATAAGGGAATTTTCTGGACACAGGTGTAGGTCATCCTTTCCAGGGGAGGATGTTCAAGGAGGTAGGGAGAGATTCATCAGGAACAAAGGGGTCAGGGAGGGAGGATACAGGGGATTCTATTGGAGCCCACTGCAGCTCTGGATACACATAAATGACTTAGGTATGGCTTTAACCCTTCCATTCTCTCCCACCTTCTCTCTATTCATTTTCCAAACTTCTCACCCACCTTCTTCCCCATCCACTCAGTTCTCTATCCCAACTATCAGGCTATAGGATATATTTTCTGACTACCCAGTTACTTTTATGGGGATGAGTTTGTGTGAATGTGTATCTGTATATACAGACATCATTATAAATTTTCAACCCTCCTCATCTGTGTTTTTTTGCACTTACCTCTATTCTAGCAACTATCACATTGCACTGTGGTTCTTTAAAGATCCATACCCTCTCTGAACTGTGTGCCTTTAAGATCAGTGTCTTTGTCTTACTCATCTTGGTGTTCCCTGAGCCAGTATTAGTCTTGAATGTTTTTGATTGAATATTAGAAAATTCTGCATGCTCCTGGAACTCTAGCATAAGCTTATGCCTCTAATGATCAAGAGAGAGAATACCACAAAATGGGAAAAGGTTAATCTTCTTAAGAATGAATCATAGGATCACCAACTTTCAGGATGATAAATGTTATGCAATATCACCACCACCACCACCATCACCATTCACATTCCCATCACCCTCACTTTAAGGCTAAAATACCAGTGTCTTTCCCAGGTAGCTGATAAGATGTAGTAAGGCACAGCATGGCCATGCTCGTGTGTCTCATGTCTATCTTGACCAGTTTGGATTCAAGTTTGGGACCAGAATCAAGCATAAGCTTGATTGATTCTAAATCATCCTCTCAAGGGATCGGAATAAAGTTAATGAAAACTTAAAAAGAGGGAAAGAAAAATGAGGATTTACCAAAAGAGGGACTCCTGCTAAGAAGTTCAAGTACTTTCATGATGTCATTTTTGATTGAGGTTACTTTACCTGTTAAGGTAGATTTTCTTCTCAATTTAGTGGCCATTTATAATAAGCTGTGCTCTCTCTAGAGGGTCACTCTAGAGGCACACTTACAACTAATGGTGAGTCTGAGTGGAAGAACTTTTTCCTTGGGTGTAGAATCAAATATTTTATTTTTTTTCTCTCTCTCTCAGTTCCCTCACTTACTCCCTCCTGTTTACCAATTTCTAAAAACTCATGAAAATGTGGTAAAGGGTTCTTCTTTAGCTCAATTGAATACCAGCTAATTTAAACTCCTTGGGGGAAATTGTAAGGGTTTAAATAGTACTAAATAATTTTCTATCTAAATAATATCTACTAGATAATTACCCAGTCAGGATTAATTGGCTCCCCACTCTCTCTACATTATTTAAAAAGAGAAATGTCTTCAGTGCACATCTTGAAAAGGTCTCTCTCTTTTTTTTATCTTTTTTTCTCTCCCAGATTATAAGGCTTTTGAGGAGGCAGCTGAACACTTCCAACCTTACATCAAATTTTTTGCTACCTTTGACAAAGGGGTAAGTACCCATGAAATCCCAATTTGAATACTTTTGTAGGCACAAAGAATTAAAATTTGAAATTTCTAGTACCTTTTTTAAATTTTAGAAACGTTTGCCATCCTCCATCCACTAACACTTTCTCCAGAAGTGTCGGAAATACTGCAGTAAGTCACTTTTGATTGAGAGATGACTGCAAAGATGATTAGTTCAGATGAACTTAGGGTATTTCTGAAAACAGCCAATGAAAACTGGTGAACCACTCTTAACTGCCTTGAACACTAAGAATGGGCAGTGTGTGAGCAGAGTGTGCCAGAACACTGGTTACTGCTTCCTTGTCTTTAGAGCTATTCTCTCCCTCCCCAGGGTTCCATACCTCCCCTTCTATTGGGTTAGGATGGGGGATGGAATGAGGAGGACCACTGGTCATCTGAAGCCTGAAGTGCTTCCATAGTTGCCTATATCTTCAAGAAATGTCATTAATGTACTCTTCTACAGTTCAATTTTTCTTTCTTTCTGGATGTGGCACGTGCTATTGTAAGCCAAAGATCATGATATAGGAGGGACCTTTAATCAGTGCGTAATTTATTTGGGGTCTACTCTAGGTAGAGTACTCCACTCTAATTCGAGTTCTGACAAAAATGGCGCTATTTATTGAGTGCTTTCTGTGTGTTGGGTACAACTTGATATATTGTGTAGATATGACCTCTAATCCTTTAAACAACTTTGAGAGGCAAGAAGCCCCATGTCCCATATGACAAAACAGATTTAGAAAGATTAAGTAATATCCAAGGTCTCTAGTGAGTTAATGGTAGTGCTGAGATCTCAGTCTATGCCCCACAACAACCATGCCCCTTCCTTCGTACCACACACTTAAGTAGAAGACTCTGTATCTGCCCTTGAGATTCAGGGCACATTGACAGACACCCACACTCATATAGGAGACATACATAACATGAAAAAACTGCATACTTCACACACATGTAAAACAACCAACACACATATAATACACACAACAGAGCACACATACATAACACACAACACACAAACACAACACTCATAAGGACACAACAAACAGGACACATACAACACCCAAGAACATAACATTTACCTGCTCACACACACTCACACTCAAACCCAGACCCACACTTGTATAACATTCAGTACACACATTCACACATCCACACTTACACACATATGACTCTATCATGCACACACACATACACGCTCACACCCCAACTAAAAACCTTCAATCACCATATTTACTAGAACAAATAAATCTAGGACAGACTAAATCCCAATCACATTCAAGTATAAGTTCCTTAGAAGGTGACCTACTGATGAGTACAGCAGTTGGAGAGCGGGGCTCATGGCCTTTATAGTACGGGGAGTTCAAGCTTTCTGTGAAAAACAAAAGGAAGCCTGTAGGTGCTGGAGCAGGGAAGGGGTATTACAAAAAGAGATTATATTCAATCCTGGTAATATGTAAATTGAACCACTTCTATGGATATGGTCCTGGCCTAAAAATTCTGTGTTGAAAATAATACAGAAGAAAGTCTAGAATCTGGGTAATGTAATCAGGTAATCTAAACTTGAAGAAAAATTACCTGAATTAAGGCTGGCTTAGAGTCAAGGGAGATCTTTTTAAATTTTTTAAAAGATTTTATTTTTATCTATTCATGAGAGACACACAGAGAGAGGCAGAGACAAAGGCAGAGGGAGAAGCAGGCTCCCTGTGGGGAACCCAGTGTGGGACTCGATCCCAGAACCCTGGGATCATACCCTGAGCCAAAGGAAGATGCTCAACCACTGAGCCATCCATGTGTCCCCTGAGTCAAGAGAGATCTGGAGCAAAAACAGCAAAAGCAATAAGAACAATCACTTGTTAAGTACTTTTTACATGCTAGGCTTTGTGCTGAGAGCTTTACATAGCTCTTTCAATCATCTCAATGTGCCTGGAAAAGACAGATTAGTCTTCTCAATCTACAGAGAATGAAACCAAGGCACCGAGAGATTAGATGATTTGCCCATGGTCACATAGTGAGTTGAGTAGTGAAGCTTGATATAATCACAGGTCACTCAGTGCTCTATACCACTGTACCCCAGAGAAAGAAACAATATATGTGAAGCGCTTAGCTGGCATCTGGCACGTGGTAAGCTTTCAGTAAATGTTAGCTAGTCCTGTTGTGCATAGAAAGCAGCCATATCAGCCCAGAAGAGTGGAGTTTGGGAGACAATTTTAGTAGAGAAGGGGAGGCACAGGGCAGCCTAAACTGAAAACATCACTGATGTTCAGTTACGATAGGCCAGCAGTGACTGAGGTGGTTCCTGGGGATAAGAACTCCTCTGAGAGAACAGAACCAGGCAGGCAGGCTTGGCCAAGCAACAAAGCCTCAATTCTTAGAAGGGTGGCCCAATGCTGAGTTCAGAGTAGCATCTGTTTTCAGACGTGCCTCCCAGCCCAGCCATATGGCTTCATGTCTGTGGCCCATGAAGAAGGTGAGGTCAGGCTATAATTAAAAACTCAGAAGCCTCTTCACTCAAGACTCTGTAAGACATTGAGTCATAAGTGCCCCCATTCATGTAGCCTTGTGGGATTTTATAACTTAATGGGAGAGAGGCACACTTTCTACTTCTACATGGAACACGGAAAGAAGAGCAGTCACCGTCAGAGGACCCAGAGACATTTGGGACTTGAAAAGTTGCACCCGTCAGTTGCGGGGAGGAAGGGAGGGAGGGAGACAGAGCCCAAGAAAGCCTTAGTGGTGTCCAGCAGGGGGCGCTGGTGCAGAAGAGGATGCAGGAAGAACCTTTTGTTGGGACTTAGGGAAGCCCAGAGGGACAAGGGGGAGGGGAAATGCTTTGTAGAGATGTGAAGTCAGGAGAGGCCAGGGCCAAGGAGGCACTAACAGGGTCCCAAAGATGAAAAGCCAACTGGGAGACAGTGGAGATAACAAGAGGACTTGGTCGCTGTTGAGGTAACGGAGAGAAAGCCAAGAGAAGTCTCAAAAATAACAAGATTGCAAGAAAGCAAAGACTGTGAAGCTCCTGAAAACATTAGAGAATTAAGGAGAAGAAGCTACTGAGGAACAAACCAATAAAAATGTTATATTCTATATATGAGTTAGAGAACCATTAAGGCGCTGAGATGTCAGGGCTGCTGATGTAGATTTGGGAGTTAGTAGTTTCCAATCATTGTCCATATTGGTACCTCCCAAAGAGCTTTTAAAATCATGGATTCCTAGGCCCCACATCTAGAAATTTGTATTTTTTTATGTTGTGACCAGGCCCAGGAACATGCATTCCCAGGGAGTTCCCTGGGGAGTTTTACCTGGCCTGTACATTTGGGACCAGCAATGGTCTTTGCATCCAGATCCTAAATCAATTCACAACATCTCTGAATCAAATGGATCCAGAGAGTCAGAAGGCTAAGGATGACGTGCTTACTGACCAAGATACAACTGAAAAAAAATGAAAGAAAGGGCTTCTCTGAGATACAGGCCAAGGGCACTCAGTGGTAGTGGTGAGAATAGAATGAATAGGCCTCTGGAGAATTTTTTGCAGGGTCCCCAGGACTTAAACTTTAGAATATCACAATCCAACTTTACATTTGTGGTCTTAACATCGCAGACCCAGACGCTGGCATTCAAGGACCCTCCTTCCCCTACACACACATACACACACACTTTGAAAGTTGAGAATGAAAAGAAATCACAATTCCAGTTGATACTTTATTTTATTTCATTTTTTTTTTTTTTAGATTTTATTTATTTACCCATGAGAGACAGAGAGAGAAAGAAGGAGGCAAAGACAGAGGAAGAAGTAGGCTCCCCATGGAGCAGGGAGCCCAACATGAGACTCAATCCCAGGACCCCAGGATCATGACCTGAGCCAAAGGCAGACACTCAACTGACTGAGCACCCCACCCCTCCGCCCCAGGCACCCATTAAGTTGGTAGTTTAGAATATTCCACTGCCTAGATTTGAATTCAGGCTCTATCTCCTCCACATGTGATCTTGATAAGTTGCATACACCGATTGGGTCTCCGGTTCGTTTTGTGTTAAATAAGTATTAATAATGGCTCTTACCTCAGCAATCCAAGAGAGGATTCATAAAGTACTGAAAGCATTTGGTGCTAGTGCCTGACACAGAGTGAACACTCTGTGTTCTTGCTACTATTACTGTTTTCCTTCATCTGGTCACTCCCCACTTCATTTAAGCACTGTTTGCTGGTTCCTAAAGTATGTAGTAGGTAAAGTCAGAAACCCAGAATCCAGTGGCATTTAAAGCCACTATGAAAAAATAAATAAATAAATAAATAAATAAATAAAATAATAAAATAAAGCCACTATGGAAAAAAAAGTGAAAAAAAAATAAAGCCACTATGAGAGGCCCAGTGTTGTGAAGAACAGCGTGGAAACCCAGACACTGGTTGTGCAGTTCCTAGTTCCTTCCCACACTCCCCACCGAATCATCCACACCACCCCCATCCCCTAGAAGAGGGAGGAAAGTAAGAAAAAACCCACACTTCCCTTAAAACCAAGTCAACATGACCATATAAATCTCTTTTGATTGACTATAGCTCTTAACATGTCCTGTTTCCTTTAGCTCTGAAGAGGCTTCTGGAGTTTCTTTCCCTGACATACTGTAAGAAATGTCTTTTGGAATATAGTGACCTGGAATTAATAGCAATTGATGACAAAAGCCATAGGGACACCAGTGTTTGCTCAGAATGGCCTTCCTTGTATAACGGCTTATGTAATACCCAGTTCCTCCCTGTCCCCAATTAGTCACAGCCGCCCTGGGCCTCTGCACCGTTGGTTACCACCACAGGGCGTCAGCTCTTAGGCAATTCCTCAGTTTCAAGGGAACCACTGTTCATCCCTGTGCTTTCTTGGACTACAGCTCAAACTAGAAAAAAAATGAGAATGGCATTTGGTTTTCTACAAAGCATTGCACATTCCAGGCCTCTCAAATCATTTCACAAAAAGAGATTTGAGCTCAGCAGTTCTGCAGGCAAACACAGCAACCGTTCTGCCCCAACAGGAGACTATGTGGCCACTTTAATCAAGAGAGCAGATGTCTTCCAGACTACAGGCTGGCTCTCCCTGAGCTTTGTATCTGGTGTAGGGTGAGTAGTAACTCATCCTGGCTGGCTGGGTACTCTCCCAGTTGTAGCACTAAGGACTTGAATCCTGGGACACCGCTTCCCTCTGGACAAACCAGGGTGGTTGGTCACCTTCTGGCTGGTAACAAAGCGGGCAGTTCCTAAAGTCTGAGAAACCATCAGACAAGCCCCAGTACTGAGATATAACCCCAGAGCCAGCGCTTCAGCCTAAATCACAAGTAGGGGTTAGGAGCTGATCGAGGACAGATTAATGGGTTGATCTCTGATTTTGAGGACTTGTCAGCTTTAAATGGTTTCTGTCAATTGCTGGTGCTAAAATTGGTTCAGCTAAATCCACACATCCCAGAACACTGAGCTTGCTCTGTTGACATTTGCTTCTTCCTCCAGCCCTGGCAAATACAGTGGATTGATGATGATTGTACAAGTAGATTTCACACTTTTCATTCCCACTGCTCCCTGTTCCTGCTTAGACCCCATTTGCCAGATAGGGTCTTTCCTTTCTGTCTGTCCTTTTTTGATTGGTCCAGTGAGGGTTTCAGCAATGAGTTTCTATCACTTCTACATTTATGTTAAAACTGCATGTATATGCTCATATCTTTGCCAGAAAACACACACACTCCTTATAGATGGGCAACCCACTGCTACTCTAGACTAGCATTCAAGGAAACTCTTGTCGTATTTCTCATTGTTACAGGTTGCAAAGAAATTGTCCTTGAAGATGAATGAGGTTGACTTCTATGAGCCATTTATGGATGAGCCCATTGCCATCCCTGACAAACCTTACACAGAAGAGGAGCTTGTGGAGTTTGTGAAGGAGCACCAAAGGTGTCCCAGATGGCATGCAGGGGAGGCTGGTGGTGGTGGGGTATAGTGTCTGGAAGATGAAGAAGAATTTCTCAGTCCTAACATTTTTAAGCCTCTCAGGAGCAACAAGTTGCAGCTACTACCCCAGCAGAACTGAAATCAGTAGTATGGCTTTGTTGGTCATTGATCAGTTGGGCAGAGATATTGCTACCTTTTCTGAGTATGGGGCTCTGTTTGCAAACAGGGTTAGACCACCTCCCCACAATCAGCAGATCCCCTCCAAGTTGAAGTAAGTTACAAGTCAAATTCTGCAATAATAACAATAGAGATTTAGTGACAGCCTCTTATATGCCAAATACAATGCTAGGTGCTTACAGAAGCTATTTTATCTAATATTTAACATTACAGAGTATTATTATTACCCCAGTTTTACGGATCAAGGAATTGGGCTCAAGAGTAGTTACATAACTTTGCCATGGATGAGCATTTTATACATGGAAGTTCTGGGGGAGGAATATTTGATACCACTTAGAGTAGCTGTAGCATGGACCAGCAAACTTTTCCTGTAGAGGGCCAGAGAATAAATATTTCAGGTTCTGCGGGCCAGATGGTTTCTATCGCAATACAAAACTCTGCTATTGTAGTGTGAGAGCAGCTGTGGGCCATATGGAAACAAATGGGTGTGGCTGTATCACAATAAAAGTTTATTTATAAATACAGGAGGCACTGGCTGGATTTGGCCCACCAGCTATGGTTGGTTGACCCCTGCTTTTAAGGGAGGAACAATATTGAAACATTGAACATGGTGGTGGGTTCACCACCTCACCACACCACCCACCCTCTCCAGCTCGTGGTCACATGTTGTCTGTGGAACCTGGAACAAGCACAATGATTCTATCACCCAGTTGTCCTGGACCCGACAGGGAGGCAGCATTTGGAGGAGCAAATCTCAATGAGTTTGACACAGCTTTGCTAACATTCAGAAGGAGATAAAACCATGAGCAAAATATAGTTTTACCTGTTCATCCACACATCCCTCAAGAGCTTTGGATTGATGCCCCTGATGATAAAACAATGCATTTCTGGTCCAGGAAAACCAAGACTTCTGTTTTTGCTCCCAGGTGTCCTCATTCTGGGTCTGCTCTGGGCTCTCAGGAGTGGCCCCAGTCTATGAGGAAGGAAATGGCTTCTTGCCCTGGGAATACACTGTGACCCTGCACCCTCTGACCCACTGTTTGTAATAGACTTTATCTATCTATCTATCTATCTATCTATCTATCTATCTATCTATTTATTTATTTATTTATTTATTTATTTATTTATTTATTTATTTATATCTTTAAGTAGGCTCTGCACTCAGCATGGAGCCCAATGCTGGGCTTGAACTCACAACCATGAGATCAAGACCTGAGCTGAAATCAAGAGTCGCATGCCTGACTGAGCCACCCAGGCGCCACTGTAATTAGGCTTTATAATCCTTGGATCAAATGGGTCTGTGCAAAGGCTGGGAGCTTCAGACCCAGCTCCCCGTGTGGTGCATCAGGATAGAACAGCTCCATCTCCTTAGGGGAGATTTCTAGCGTTTTTCATGTCCTTGCAAATGAACCAGCATTGCATTTTACATTTCACTGTGCTGAAGCTGCGGTGTCTGCTGTGGTAATCCCTACTCAAGGAAACTCATCTTTGTTTTGTTTTTTTCAGACCCACCCTACGTCGCCTACGCCCAGAAGACATGTTTGAAACATGGGTAAGAAAGTGGCAAACTCTTTCTGCCTTGTAGACACCAGTATATTGCCCAAGAGGAGTACCCCTTTGAATCCTCAAACTTCAACCACATTTTATTTTGCCAGAGTGGCTGTCTGGATGGCAGAATATTTGAAACATGGATAACATCACACTCATTTAAAGCCCAGTTCTCCATGAATCTAATTTAAGCCTCTTTGGTACTACCCATGAGGCAAAACTGCTCCATCTCTGAGTCTATTTCCCACGATGACTACTGGCTTCTGTTCCCTGGCCACCAGAAACCCAGGGTAACATAATGAAAGGAGTCATATAGACTTGGGTTCAAATCTGGAATCTGCTACCTGGTAGCTCTAAGTCTTACATTGTCATGTTATCTTTCTAACTTTAGTTAGTTTCTGCTTCTCAAATCAGGGCGTTTTGTAAGGATGAGAGGTTGCAAAGAGCCCAGAACCTGATAAGTGTGTGGCCGATCGATCTTAGTGGTTTTCATAAATATCAACAACTCAAGGTGCTGGAAGGCACTGAGTCAGATTGTGCTCAGGTCTAAGTCATAGACAATGTGTCAGCAGGTCAAATAGTGTAGAGAGAGGGTCACAGACATACAACCTGCCACCCCACCTCAGCCTTTATACAAAACTCCATAACCAGTGATAACCAAAGCCTGTGGAGCATTTTTTCAAAGCAGTCCATGTATCCTTTTAACCTGGATGTTTCAACAGTTAAAAAGTGTTGTAGAACAAGTATTATTTAACTTCATGTTACATGGGGAAACTGGTGATCATACAGATTAAGTTAATTACTACAGGCCAGCTAACTAATAAGCATTAGATCTAGGGATTTAAATTTACATCATTTGGAGCCAAATCTTGTGTTCCCTTCAATATAATTCCCTAGAGTAAGCCATATTCCCATAAGGCAACATTTTGTCAAGGGCTGGGATGGGGGAGGGGGGCTGGAGAATTAACATGGAAGCATATATTTATTTATTTATGCTTTGATTCAGAGTCTAAAATGACAGATGAACAGAACCATGGAGTAACTTGACACTTGATGTCTTATTACTGGTAACCTATTTGTACGTCTGAAGGCAGAACAAACATTTCAAAAGACACTGAAGAGCAAGTAATCCAGTCTGGAGGAGTGGACTATTTAAGAACAACCCAGCACAATGGCAACATACTTTCCTGACATTTGAACTTTCCAAAAATTTAACCTTTAAAAGGCTTTGTTACTAGATTTAAAAATAACAAGAGTGTAACAGTGCTTTAAAAATAATATTCCTCTTAGTTTTAAAATTTTTTAAGATTTCATTTATTTAGTTGAGAGAGAGAAAAAGAGAGCACACATGCACACAAGTGGGGTGGGGGATGAGTAGGAGCGCAAGGAGAAGCAGACTCTCCATAGAGCAGGGAGCCCGACTTGGGGCTCAATCCCAGGATCCTGGGATCATGACCTGAGCCAAAGGCAGACACTTAACCAATTGAGCCATCCAGGCGCCCCTCAATAATATTCCTTTTAAAAGATATTTTTGCCTTTTACTTAAAATAATTCCAGACTTACAAAAAATAATGTAAAGAATTCCATGATCTCTTTACCAGATTCCCTAAATGTTAACATTTTACCTCCTTTGCTTGATCACACAGTTCTTAACAGATAATAGGTATAAACATTCTCCCTACTGTCCGCCACCCCACCCCCCACCCCCGGACTATTTGAGAGTAAGTAGCAGGCACAACTCCCCTAACCCCTACATACTTCAGATATTTTCTAAAAACAAGGAATGTCTCTCATAACCACAGTATACTCATCAGGAAATCAGTAAAACTCCATTTCATCTATGGACCTTGTTCAAATTGACCAGTGTCCCACTAATGTCCTTTATATTACACACACAAAAAAATTTTTTTTCCTGGCCCAGGATCTGATCTTGGCCATGAACACCATCATGGAATCCCCATATGACTTCTCCAGAAGCTGTAATCAGACCTAACCAGTCCCAAGTCTTCAACTAAGGAAGGAAGACAGGATCATCTTCCCATCCTTACAAAGGAGAAGCAGGAATCATTTGGTCAGAGGGATTTCTGGGGAGTCGCTTCATGTGCCTTCCCCATCCACCTTTGCCACATAGGAAAGCATTGCTCTGAAAAGCAGCATCTCCACGGCTCCTTGGCCACAGCAAACCAAACCATAGAAGCTGGGGAGAGTGACCAGTTAATGAATTTGGAAATCTTGATCTTCAACACCCACTTCCCCAGACATTGCAAAATATTTAAATCAGATGGGAAAACTAAGTTGAGTGAAAGCAAGTATTGACTTTTGTCTTTCCCCAGTTGTGCAGGTTCTTAAAGCAGCGAACCATAAAAAACACATACTTAATTATTGCTAAAGAAATTGGTGATGCAATACTTGCCTTGTGTAAATCGAATAGCTATTTATTTATTTAGAATACTCAAAGAATAAATAAAAAATCTTTTTAAAAAAACCAAAAAATAAAAAAAGAGAGAGCATTCAAAGAATGTCAAGATGGGGCAGGGTGGTCACCCAGACTGAGTGCTGACCAGTCCTCCCCCTTTGACACCTTACCTTCCAACCAGCTTTCCAGCCTGGCAAGTGGTCAGGGTCCTGGCCAAAAGCCCACAGGGATGGGAATCAGCAGTGCTTTCGGGAATAACCCTCTCTCTGTGGCAGTAACAAAGTAGTACTTCCAAAAGGGGGCCAGAAACCTCCAGATAAGCCCCTGGGATGCTCCATCACACTAGGGAGTCCGTAGTTTTAAGCGCATGTTTTTTTCTTTACATCGCTTCATTCAACAAGAGAACAAATATCAACAGACTCTGGAAGGAAACAGAACAAAACAGGAACAGTGGTAATATATCTGGTTGGTGGGTAACTGATGTGTGGTTTCCTTTTGGTATCTCTAATATTTTCTCTTTTTTTTTCAACTAGTGTGTAAGATTTTTATCACTGTATGCTTTTTTTTTTTTTAAGTCAGTGAGCATTTAATTACCTATTACATTGTGCTAAGCACAGGGGTTATAAAAATGAACATAGCTGTTGTGTCCTTAGGAGTTCAGGGTTGAGTAGATGAAACAGTCTCAAAACATATAATGCCACTCCAGTATAGCTCATACTATGACAGATGGACATACAAAGTGAAAGAGAATTCAGAGTAGGGTATTCAGCAAAGTAATTCCTAAGTCTCCAGCTCTTTGGGGGAATCTGGGGCTCAGTCAGCTTACCTTATCAGCCTCCATTTTATTTTATTGTTTTGATTTATTTTATTTTATTTTATTTTATTTTATTTTAGAGAGAAAGAGCAGAAGCAGGGTGGGGTGGTGAGAAGAGCAGAGGAAGAGGGAGAAGAAGACTGCCTGCTGGGCAGGAAACCTGATGCAGGGCTCAGGACCCCAAGATCATGACCTGAGCAGAAGGCAGAAGCTTAACCGACTGAGCCACCCAGGCCTTCTCATCAGCCTCTTTTAACTTAAGAGTCATTAATCTGAGTTTGAAACATCTGCAAACCCTATAGGGGACAATAGATTCATTCTGTTGCTATTGGTGATGTCAAGGAGGAAGATTGTTTCTCCTACCCTCTTAGGTTCAGTTCTGAAGGGCCGAAAAGTAAACTGACAAAATACAGATTGGCGTGGGCAAGAGACAGATTTAATGACCTATTTATTATGCAAGGGCGTTTACAAGGAAATGTGAAGGGACTTATCCACCATCTTAACTGGAAATGGGAGAGGCAAGGGGTACCTTCTGGGAGAACAAGTGACTTGTTAGGAGGTTGTGGAGAAAGGGAACTTATGGAAAGACAAATGTCTTTTTGGGATCTTTCCCAAAGAAATGGGCTTTTGGCGAATAGGTGGGGGATTTGCTAGTTCTGTGATAATATCTGTCTGAGAAGAGAAATCAGAGCGGCTCTTGGGGATGGGGTTTATGACAACCAAGTTCTTCTGGGAGGCTCTGTTTTTAGGTAGATAAGGCAAGGCATTCAGGGATTCATATGCTTTTGGCTCAAAATAATTTTTATGCCACAGTGGCTTATTCTGGACCCTTTCAGTGAGAGAAAAATCACGCAAGGCCAGATAGAACTGGCTTGAATCCCAGTTATGTCACGCACTAGTTCTGTAGCATTTAGATAAGTCCCTTCGATTCTTTAAGCACTAAATAGGAATAAGACTTTTGTCTGAGATTTAGAAATAACGTACTTACAAAGTACTGATACAAAGAACGGCAGGGGGCAGATGCTATGGTGGCCATTTTAATCATCAGTGTTATTTGAAGGCATAATCCTTTCCCTCAGAGTGCTTGCCATCTGGTTGAGAAGGGATGGATTTCTGCTATTAGAAAGATAGTTTCCAAGGCAATGTGGTTCAAAGGTCAAACGGGTGATCCGAAGCAAAGGTTCAAGAGAAAGCCCCTGAGTGGTGTCAGTCCAGTGCCTGGTGAGCTAGGCTCTTCCTCACTCATGCACATTGGATTCTCACTGACTAACCCTGATTCGTGCACTTGCCCATGGATTCTTGCCTTGTGAGTTTATTACTGAAAATACCTGGCACCCAGCATGCACCTGCTTCCTTACAAGTGTTCAGCACAGGTTTATGAGCTGACTCTGAGCCTTGATTATAGCCCTCCATTCAGCCACCATCTTAGGCCTGTGGAGTGACAGCCATATGATGAGCAGCCTCTTAGCAAACAAATATGGATTCTTAATTCCAAAACCAATTTCCCGATGCATTCTAGAAGGGCGCACAGAAGTGAAGCCTGCTGCACAGAGTTAACACTGCTCACTTCCCGCTGATGGCAGGAGACAGAGACGAAGGGAAGCCTAATGAGAACTGATCAGGATATTCTGTTGGGTGATCATAGCAAATGTAAAACAGTGAAACCTCAGACTCCCCTTCTGGTTGCTGTCGGATCTGTGTAACAAACCTGCACACGCATGCACACGCGCACACACGTATCTGTCTGTAAAATTCAATTCCCCAGAGCGTCTCACCAAGCCCGTGCTCACTCTCTTGTTTTTAGTAATAATATTTCCCATTTAATCTGCCTTAGAATTTTTGGAGGTTTTGTCCATTCCAAACTCAAAGGGAAAAATTAGCATTTAGATAGGATTGCACCAGCATTAAAATCAATTGAAATGGAAATGGGGATCATAGGAGGGTTGAGATGCCTGGAGTTTTTTCCACAGGATGATTCTGATATGACATCCAGGGTGGCCAGTGACTCCCTTTTGTGGGGTCAGCAATAATCAGTATTCACTCCAGTTCATCACTGGTGCCTCATTTTTACACATCCTCCTCTCCATGTTTTTTGAGGAATCACATTTCTCCTACAGAGGCTCCTCCGAAGCTCCTGCTCTCCCTTTTGCAGGATGCATTGATGCAAAGGGGACACAGGTGCATGGTCCCTTCTGTCCAGGATGTAGAAACATGGAATGCCCTTGCTTGCCCAGTGACCCTGTTACTGCCATCCCTTCGCCTCCAGATCCACTCTTTGCTCTTTGCATAGCCTCCCACATCTCAGAAATGCGTTAGAGGCCTTCCGCCAGCCTTGGCCCCAAGCAGGAGCCCCCCCACCTCCGCCCCAGGAAGGCGCCCCTTCTGACTACACAGTTCCCCAGTAGGGGGCGTGCTCACGAAGAAACCCTTTGCTCCTATGCTCCTATATGATTCTTGCATGGACAGGACAGACCTACGGCCTAATTTACCTCATTCTACCTGCTGCCAACTTGGGGACAGCTTCAGGATCTGTCAGCAGCATTCAGACTGTCCTGTAACCGCTGGTTGCTGGAGGTGAATTCTTGAAACAACAGTTGCATTTACTGAGCTGTGCTTCTGGGCTTGCTGCCCTCGGGCTCCTGATGAGCCAGACTCATGTTTTTCCTCTTTTGCCTTTTACTGCTGCCCTCCTGGATCCTGCAGCCCACAGGAGTGAGGCCCATTCAGTGCTCATGTCTTGTGTGTAGTGGGTGTTTGCCCGTCTCGCAAACCCATGCATTGGACAGCACACATTCCTCCCAGTTGCCCAGCAGTGTTTCCTTCCTCCCCGTGTGTCCCTCTGTCCCCCTGGCCCCGGGTGTCCACTGCCCCTCCACTGCCTCCCCGCTGCCCACTTCCATCCCAGCCTCCGTGTCTGTCCCTGACTTGCCCCCTTGTCTCTCCACCCAGGAGCGTAACCTCTGATTCCTTTCTCCTCCAGGAAGATGATTTGAACGGCATCCACATTGTGGCCTTTGCAGAGAGGAGTGACCCAGGTAGGAAACCCTCCCCATCTGCCCTCTTACACCTTAAGCGGGATCTGACTTCTCACCTTTGGCAGCCCTCATTCCTTGCTCTTCCCTCACTTCCGGTCTACAAGGCCACTGCAAGATATTGGGCACCCCCTGGTGGTCGTTGGTTAGCCACGAATCCTTTGTCAGTGTGCATTCAGCTAAGAGAAGAGATGTGGGTGGAGCTGAACCTCATTCTATTCTGCGTAGCTCTCCAAAGTATGAAGAAGCGCTGAATACTGGGGAGAATATAAAGACATCCTAGCTTTCCAGGGTGTGTGTGTGTGTGTGTGTGTGTGTGTGTGTGTGTGTGTGTGAGAGAGAGAGAGAGAGAGAGAGAGAACTTGTGTATTATTTACCAGGATTGTGATCTAGCCTATATAAATAACAATCCTACATGAAAATTACAACAAATGTATGCTTTGGTTTGTAAAATATAGTCTGTGCTTGGAAAACTTAATAGATAATATTCGTTCAAGCAGTGAGAACTGGACAAAACCAGCAGTTGATTTCTCAAGTGTAAAATGACCCTGCAAATGGATGCGTGACTTTGTTTTATTTTGGAACCTGGACGACTTTTTCCTGGCCTCACTCTTTTTAACATCGGCAGAGAGGGAAGGGCAGGAAAAATCAATATTGCTGGCAATAAAATGCTAAGTCCCTTTGGCAATGCTCTGTGAGGTGAAGGGGCCCCAGGGGGATCGTGTAAGTGGGCATTCCAGAGCGCGTAAGGGGAGTCTGGGCATAATCCGCACTGCAAACAGAGAAGGCAAGGAACTTCATTTAGGATGGCTCAGCAGCAAGGCCTTGGGCCATGAGGTGCCCAGGCGGGGGTCCTCGGACCTGACAGTGCAGAGAGCCACAAGCACCAAAGCCACCAGTGGCTGATTATGACAGGATCTCCAGAAACCTGTGATTTCACGGAGCTCGGAAGCAAGTGTTAAGGCACCATCAGGCTTAGGAACTGCCACCCCAGGTAATGTAGAACGGTGGCACTTGCCTGGGACCTCTGTACACCCTTAGGGACAGCCAAGAGAGCTCCAAGAAGTTAAGCAAACTTCCCAAGAGGGCACAAGGAGTTCATGGGAGGTCACGAAGGAGCCATGGGTTATCTTGGTCATCAGTACATACCTGGTCCTTGCGTAGCACCCTGACACAGAGTAGGTGCTCAATTAATAGCTCTTGGGACGTGAGCAGATAGGAAGATGACTGACGAAGACTGATTCTCAACACCAGTTTTTTTGTTGTCGTTACCACATTATCAGCCTCTGTGATTCTTACAGATGGAAACCTAAATGCTCTTATCACACCATTTCTAAACTTGTGAGATAATCCACACATGACGGTATTTGCCTTTTTAAAGTGTGTGATCCGGTGGTAATTTCAGTATAGTCACACGGTTTTGCACTAATTCCAGATCATTTTCAACACCTTTTTCAAAAAGAAATCCCATGCCTGTTGGCAGTCACCCCTACTTCCCCTCCCCCAGCCCCTGGCAACCACTAATCTACTTTCTGTCTCTACGGATTTGATGACTGTGGACACTTCATGGAAATGGAATTATGTAATCTGTGGCCTTTTGTGCCTGGCCCCTTTCAGTCAGCGTAGTACATTCGAGGCTCATCCATTATGTAGCGTGTATCTGTGATTCATTCGTTTTTAGGGCCAAACAATGTTCTGTTGTATCAAAACCAAATTTACACTCCAAATTATCTGAGGGTGTTTCCTCCTCCTTTGTTTTTGTTAAAGTCTTTGCACGCTCACTGGCATCTCAGTTTTCCCACTGTGGACTTGCAGGGTTGGCAAAACTCTTCAAGGATAGCTAGTCTTTGTCTGAAAAAGAAATGCCAGCATGGTTCTAGCAGTTTCTGGCCACCCCTCTGCCCCTGCAGGGGAAAACAGCGAAGGAAGCCAATTGCCCAGGTTTTACAAGCCATAATCAAACAGAGCCGGATCCCTGGTGTTGTGTGAACAGAGATGAAACTGCCATCAGCGGCAGCCTGCTGGCATGACTCCAGGGGGCTTCCTCCCCCCCCCACCCCCCCATCCAGAATTGTGGGGAAGCCTGTCTGGCTCTGTGGAACAATGGAACAAATTGGCCTCCAAGAAGTTGCAGGAACCTGTCTGACCGAGATTGTGGCTGTAATGAATCAAGCTCCTGAAACTACTTCCACCTCCTCCCTGCACAAATATCTCTGGGCCTGAAGCTGTTCTTTTCCCCAGAGGAGGCCAAGCCAGGGCTTGTTACTGGGAAGCTGGAAGAAATGCCCTGAAAGGGAGGGGTGGGTGGGGGGATCAGGGCATTTGCTTCAAGGGAGGGCCTGGCCCACTTGGGGCTGGGAAAGAAAGACTTTTCTGTGCAAGTCCCAACTCTGCGGCTAGTCAGTTGTGACCTGCAGGTCACTGAAGTGTAACCCGGGGCAGAGGGGCCTGGCCGAGGGACCAGGATCTTCATTCCTGCCCAGACGGCAGTTCCTTGTGTACCTTTGCTCCTGCTAACAAGCTATGCAAGGCTGATGGCCCCAGCCAGACCCCTACTGGCTTGGCCAAAGAAAGAAGGACATACATCTGGGACATCCATGCAGCTCTCCTTAGAGAGCTAAGACTTGAGGGCCAGTGGGACGTGGAGATGATCTCACTGGATCCCATTCTGTGATAAGTGCATGATCATGACCATCCCAGCCTAGAGAAGAGTGAGTCTTCTGAATCACTTGCTGTGATTCAAATTCCAGCGGGCTATCCTGACCTCTACCTTGGTCCTGATTATGATGAAGTTGGTGATGATCACTTGTATGCTTATGTGACAGAACCCCACGTGGGCACTGTTTGTTTTCTTCCCATTTTACAAATGAGGAGGGTGAGGCCAAGACAGGGTGACCTGCTAGGAGAAAGCAGAGCAGGAATGGAGCTGAGGGCTCACTGGCTTCCTTCAGGGGGCCAGGCCTTGCTGATGACCATGGGCCCCATCCAGTTATGACCCCTGGGGACCTCCAGTGATCATTCAGCTTGCCTCCTTCCTCTCTGTGCTCTTCACCACTCCCTCCACCTCCACCATGCGGAAGACCTGGAGAAGATCAGAGAAGATCAGTGGCCAGCTGGAGATCATGCAGCTAGAGGCACAGCGGACATGCGAGCTTGGATTTCCTGGCGGCTTTTCTGGGCACAGTGCAGCTGAGCTTGCTACCTGCCTGGCTGCCCTGCAGAGGCTGGCCTGAGCATGCGCTCTGCTGCTGCACAATGGGGAGGGGTGTGTGTGTGTGTGTGTGTGTGTGCGCGGTGTGCCGGGCAAGCAGAAGGCGGGAAGTGAGAAGAGAGCAGCCATCTGGACGCTTGAGAGCCAGTTAAGGAAGAGAAGTCAGCCGTCCCCCTGCTGTCCACTGATGTCCCCAATTGGGGATAGGACTGACTATCCCAGGGACCGGGGTCCCCCTAGGGCTCCTCTCCGAGTCGTTCTGCCACTGCCAGACTGCAGATCTGCTCTCCAGGCCCTGGAAGGACAAGTCCTGCGCTCTGCTCCTGCCCCAGGCCCTGCGCGCTGCTCCGTCTTCCTCCTCCAGAGCCTCCTGAGCTCAGGATGGCCCTGGAGCCACTGCTTGACAGGTTTGCAAATGAACACCTCTCCGCTGCCGCCCCCCCATGTGTCTGCATCAGGCTGACATCTTCTTTATAACACCTGCTGAAAGGTTCGCAGAGTGGCATTTCTACATGAGTGCACGCTGGATGGATATCCTCCAAGGGCCCAGGGAATATTAGCACTAACAGGCCGGAAATGCAAGGACAGGCTGCCGTGCACGCGCGTGGATTGGCCGTGGAATGAGCGTCTCCAAACCCGTTCCAACTGGATTGCAACCGCCTGGGGGTTCTTGTAAAATGTTTTTGAGATCAGTTGTCTCAAATGGGAGGGCTGACTGCTTCTTTGAGCTTCCAGATGTAAATCTGGTTTATCAAACTTAACATTTTTTAGTTCTTGCTAAGTGTGAACCATGCATGTAATCTTCACAACAACCCTGTGGCCTAGGTATCGTCCGTATGTTCTTCCCCGATACACAGATGAGGAAACAAAGGTATGGAGACATTAAACTATGTCGCCAGGTCACATAGCTCATAAGTGGCAGAACTGGGATTCAAACCCAGGCTCTCAGCCCTAGGCTGCGCTCTGAGATACACCCGTCTGTGCCAGACAGAGCCCTGGCTCCTAACAGGGCTGTGACTGGCCTGGAACTGGTCCCCCAGGGCTTGGTGCAGCCTCATTCCCACCAGATCCTCCCTGCCTGGGAAGGAGGAGAGCATAATCACCAGTTTCCCCTCCCACAGAGATGTGATTCCCCGAGGCCTCTTGCTTGCCGTGGGAAACCTGGCTGCACATGAGCCCTCAGCCCTGGGTCATGGGACTTCAGGTTCCAAGCCCGTGTGGCAGTCAGGGAGTCTTGGTTCTCACAGTGCCAGGTCCCTCTTCTTTATTTAGGCTGATCTCTAAGACTCTAGTGGCACTTAGGGACCTCGCCGAGTTAACCAAGCAAGCACACTGTGACTGGGGGGAGGATGTGGTGTTATTAGAAGGAAGGGCGGGGGGCGGGGGGCATCCAACTGCCCCAGAGGACACTGCCTCCAGGCTGTCTTCTCAAGCCCCTTGCTCCCCTCCTGTTGAAGCATTCACACTCCACTCACAAATCTTGAGTGCAACCTTGAGGAAGGAAAATGGCAACAGCTTTGGTAGGAGGCCCAAGACCCCAGAGGGAAAATGCTTGTGGAAATGGTTCTAGACCGGCAGACCAAAGACCTGAGTTAGAATCCTGACTCCTCCCGGCGCTCTCACGTGATGCTGGGCAAGCCACATTCTCTCCCCTGTCTCAACTCCATCCTCTTTAAAATGGAAATAAGAAAATTTTCCTCACTCTAGGAGGACTAGATAAGAAGATTAAAGGCAGAGACTAGTTTCAGTGGCTAAATAACTGCTAGGTCCAAAATCATGGAATAATATTTCCTCCTTTTTTTTTTTATTTAGCTTAAAAAAAATTATGGACTCTTCCTTCTAAAAGATACATGGCCACAATTTTAAAAGGTCTCTAAGTTTAGGTATCATTGATGAAGGAAACATTCATCTGTTTCAGATCTATCCATTCATTCATGTAATTCCAATTGTGGACTTGTCTTGGGCTTTACATTGAATTACAGAAGTGAAATATGGCTTCGTCACCTGCTTCCCCCATCAAAAAGGGAAAGTCCACGGTGGCTATTTCCCTTTTCCAAAGACACCTGCCCAGACACCAGTTCTACAAAGAAACAGAAGCTCTCCCTAAGAGGAAATTGAACTTGTAACTTAAAATTGTAGCAACTAAATACCTGGGAGACCAGTTTAGTGGCCTTCCCTCAACTTTCCCACATGCATGAGAATCCATTCTAGCAGGTCTACATTCAAGGCTGGGAATAAAAAGGTAGAGAATGTACCAGGCCTGTGAACCTTGAATCAAGAATGTCCAAGTTAGCTTAATGACCTTGAAATAAAGGAATTAAACCTTGCTTTAACCCACATATTGAGGCAGGGTTCTCATAATCACACCTGCTGGCACAGCCACCCCTGAAGCCTTCAGTCATGGAATCATTAACAGGGGCCAGAAGGAACTGCCCCATAACATCATATCTCCTTTTTTAAAAGAGAGACACGGAGAGAGAGGCAGAGACATAGGCAGAGGGAGAAGCAGTCCCCCTGAGAAGAGCCCAATGCGGGACTCGATCCTATGACCCTGGGATCACGCCCCAAGCCGAAGGCAGATGCTCAACCACTGAGCCACCCAGGTGTCCCGACATCCTATCTCCTGGCGTAACTTCCTATGAGCCCGTCTTCTCTACTGTGTGGGCCAAGACTGCATCTAACACACTGTTTGTGCTCAGATCATTGTACTTATTACCTACGCACTAATGGAGAAATGAACGGCCACATTCCCTTTATTTAAGCAGGAGTCCAGATCATTTAGGAATAATGGCTAGACCTTACTATGTGTTAGGCGCTGTCTCAGTGATTTAGAGGTACTAACTCATGTGACCTACAACCACCTTATGAAATAGGTACTTTTATTATCATCATCCCAATTTTACAGATGAGGGGCCAAGACTTAAGTAACTTGCCCTAAGTCACACTCAAAGTGGCAGAACCAGGATTTGGACCAAGGTGGTTTGCCCCAAGTGTCTGTATGTTCAAGCCTCATGCTGGGCTGCCTCCCTCTACTCTATTTTTGGAAATATCCAGGGATGCAGAAGGATTATGCCTATTATAGAATTCATCACCCCAAAAATCAAAAAACTGTTCTTGGCTCTGGATGAAGTTTTTCTTGCTTTAGTGTCAAACTCATTTATCAATTTATTCTGTGAATGTTTTTTGAGTTTTCCTTAGTCTTCTGTAGGTGCAAAACCCTGTCATAGTTCTAAAATTGAGCACTAAGCCAAAATGTCGTCTTCTCTTGTTTTACATAAATACTCCAACCTGTTTGATTTTCCTAGTAGAATCCGATTTTTATTCCTTCAATCTTTTCATTTTTATCTCCAAACCTGCTCTAGCATGTAAAGTAGAAAGGGTTCCTGTATGTATCATTCCTTTTTATTAATTCCAACATTCTGTGGGGTTTTCCATCACAAATCTACAGCACTCTCTTGTGTGTGCAGCTGTAGTACCGATGATGCAATACGGGGCCTAGGCGGCTTCTCCCCTCCTTTTACACAAGTCTATCTCTTGTACCTCAGATTTACTTTCTACATGAATCAGGGGCTATGTCGTTGAATTTTATCCTCCTCATGATTTTCTGAATTGTCAAGTTCACTTTTACATTCGTCAAGTTCACCTTCCAGAGTACTTCCTTCTGGCTCCCAAGAGTAGTCATAGAAAGTGTTTTTAGAGAATTTCCCATTGTGGTGTGTGCATGATGATACATAATCCACAGGTTCCAGAGAAGGGAGATCCACGTGTTCGGACAGCAGTGGCCAGTGGCACTCTAGAGGAGCTCGACCTTCTCAGCCACTCCTACAGGCAGCAGGAGTTACAGCCCCCAAACCCAACTCCACCCAACCGCCACAATGATAATGACCTCTGAAGCACCTGGCCCTATGCATCCCAAGTGTCTGTCTACAACGTAGTTTGTGATATACAGGTTTCCCTCACTGTCTCAATAATCTCATCACATCCCTTTGCATTTACGAAATATCTATGTTATTACTTGTTTTTGCTGATGAAAAGAGGTCCAAAGAGGATTTTTGACTTTATGGAATGTTATTGCTTCTCTACAACATTTTGGTACATAGGAACATTCTACTTTTGGATATCGGGGGAGATCTGTAATTCAGAAATAGATAGAAAAATCTGCGCTATGACCCAGCAATTGCACTGCTGGGGATTTACCCCAAAGATACAGATGCAGTGAAACACTGGGACACCTGCACCCCGATGTTCATAGCAGCAATGTCCACAATAGCCAAACTGTGGAAGGAGCCTCGGTGTCCATCGAAAGATGAATGGATAAAGAAGATGTGGTCTATGTATACAATGGAATATTACTCAGCCTTTAGAAGTGACAAATACCCACTATTTGCTTTGACGTGGAGGGACCTGGAGGGTATTGTGCTGAGTGAAGTAAGTCAATCGGAGAAGGACAAACATTATATGGTTTCATTCATTCGGGGAATATAAAAAATAGTGGAAAGGAATAAAGGGGAAAGGAGAGAGAATGAGTGAAAATATCAGTGAGGTGACAGAACATGAGAGACACCTAACTCTGGGAAATGAACAAGGGGTAGTGGAAAGGGAGGTGGGCGGGGGGGTTGGGTTGACTGGGTGATGGGCATTGAGGGGGGGCACTTGGCGGGATGAGCACTGGGTGTTATGCTCTATGTTGGCAAATTGAACTCCAATGAAATATATATATATATATTTCTCTATATATAAATCACCCAAGCAGAGCACATCTCTGCAGGAAGGGGCTGTAGGCTCTTCTTTCCGAGCAGGAGCTCTGCTTTCCAGGTAGCAAGGCTTGAGGAAGCTCAGCCTGAATCTTACGGCTAGCAGTACAAGTTAGCGACATTGAGAGCGACTACACCCACTCAGAGCAGAGCTGCTAAGAATAGCATGCATTTCACCTGGAATGTATAGAAGATGAGGAAGTGTGGAGAAGAACCTTTGTGGAGAGGCCCCAAGGAGCCAAACAAAGGCTGGAGCTCCTGGGGAGAGGAGAGACTTGTTAAACAGGTGCTCAAAGTGACTGGGACCTCTGACAAAGGAAGAAACTTTACAATGAAAGGGCAGTTGCCAGATGGAATTCCAAGGCAGGTGCTGGGTTGCTTGTAGAGAAGATGTACACTGCAGGCCACACATTCAGCCAGGCCAGAAATGTGACTTTCCTGTCTAGAATCAAACTTTTTTTGTTTTGTTTTGTTTTGTTTTTTTAGAATCAAACTTTTACCTGGTGGGAACTGGATCTGGTCACGGATGGCTCCCTACCTTCACCCCAGCATCCCTAAAAGTCCATTGTCATGCGGCTTCCCAGGCCTAGACTGGTGGGGTATATATCTGGTCAGAGTCGATGTGGTTCCTGCGGCCTCTAGCCCTTGTTCCCAGCAGATCACTACTGGTCCTGTTCATCCCAACTGTGGCTTCGTCCGCATTCCTCAGAACCACAGAGAACTAGTGGGGCCTCCCGACAGACCTTCCTGCCCTAATGCTCCTGCACTAAGGGGTCCTCCAGGAGATTCTGGGGCCTTCCCATTTGCCAGAGTTTCATTCTGAAACAAAGCATGGGTCCCCTGTGCTCTGAGATTCCCTGGATGTGTGGAGTTTCTGTGTGTGGACACACAGGCACACATTGGCTTGCATCTGTGTGCACGCACACACACGTATGTACATGCAAACACATACACGCAGGGGCAGAGCTTATTCTCGGGAACTTTCCAGAATCTCTACTATTTGTTCCTAGTCAGGAGTAGGGTGGGGATGCTGGGGCTTTAGGGTGACTAAACATTCTTCTGAAACTTTTTGTTTATGGTATAAATTTTATGCTCCCAGTCCTTAAAGGTTTAGGCTTTAATTTTTTTTAATTAAAAAAAAATTGTGTTCTTGAGGCTCACAAGGCTTGTCTCTGCTTTTCTTATGAATCATCCCTCCCCTGGGGGCAATAAATGCCGCTGCCTGACTAGGGGGAGGGCAGAGCATACAAGGAAATGGTGCGAGAGGGAGGGAAGCCCCAATTACTATCTCAAAGCTATAAAGCCAGCTATAAATCAGAAGCTTGGTTTGAAGGTTTTAGAAATTCCAGGTTGTAGAAATCTCAGGGTCCTGCCTAAATGTTCTTGGTCCGTAGAACTCAGAGGGATAGCAAATTATTGGTTTCAAGAGAGGGCACAGAGGGCCAGGCAGGGGTTCTTCTGATCCGGGATTGCACTTGCTGACTCAAGGCTGGTTGGTTTTCACATGTGGACCAGCAAATGGAGCCCGGATTTGAGTTAAGAACCAGAGTCTTCCCTGTGAACTTTTCATTTTTTTAATTTAAAATTTGTATTGTTTCCTTTGAGTAAGCTGCTCGGTGGCTGGAGCTCTCATCTGACTCATTTTATAGAATAATCCTACAACTGAGGTATACACCAAATGGCCTAGGAAACTCTCATGGAAAAACCACACTCCCTACTCTTCATGCTGCATCCCATGTGTGTGCAGGGAGTAACTCAGACTTCTTGAATCCTGCTTTAGATGGCTACGAGTTCCTGGAAATCCTGAAACAGGTGGCCCGAGACAATACAGACAACCCTGACCTGAGCATCGTGTGGATCGACCCGGATGACTTTCCTCTGGTGAGTGGCCCAGACCCAGGCACTGTCCTTGGTTACCTTCACAGCCCCGTGTTTGTGTTTAGTGTGAGACCCAGAAGCATGAAGGAGGATGTGAATTAGGAGGACCATTTGCGGAAACACAGTGACCACCTCTATCCAGTGTGGAAGACCTTGGTGACATTGTGGGGCAACACTGAATTTTGTACCTGGTGCTGACGCTGACATGCTTACACTCACCATTCTCACTCCCTGGAAACCACGGAGCCGTCCACATGAGTGAGCTGGGTGAAATCCTGCTAGCACTTCCGTTCCTGTGCCCCATCCCACCACTACCCTTGCTACAGCCTCTTTCCTGTCCCGGCAGGGGACCATCATTCTCCAGCAACCTGAGATGCTAAGTAATAAAAAATCACACCTGACCATTTTGCAGAGTGAAGAACTTCGTGGAGAGAACTCCAACCTCTTGGAGGGTAGAGACCCTGTCTGTCTTGTTTCATTGTGTTCTCTCAGGTCATAGCATGTTGAATGTGTAAGAAATTTAGAGTCAGAACTCTTGCTCGTGTTAGTGATCAATGGCCAGAAAGCCTTAAGTATGCTTAATTTTAAAGAGAATAAATAGAATTTGTATGGTACATGAGCCCAGTGGTGATGACAATGGATGTAGCTACTGTATGCCAAGAACTATAGTAAATTCTTCACAGGTACCATCTCATCAAACCCTCCCATCAACCCTATATAGTAAGTAAGGACTGTCATAATCCATATCTGACAGATGAAAAGAATAACAGCTGGCAAGGTTAAAGCCACCATGTGGGAGATGTGATATCCTGGTCCAGGTGTGTGTGATGCCAAAGATTTGTCTACTAGTGAGTCAGTAGACTTTAGGCTGAATTTAATTGCTGGTAAGCAGTACAAGTTTAGCTATCAGAGGTTATAAATGTTAACTTCTCTTTTTCTAGGACTTATCATTTTTTGCATATTACATGGCTGATCATATCATGACCAAAAAGCCAAAATTGAGGGAGTTTAATGACCTCAAGGGTCCTGACACCCAATTCTACATACAGAATAAGTGAATCAAAGGCAGAGACTTTCAGGACACTGGGAGCCAAGGTCATAACTCTGGGTAATCATAACAATGTCATGGGCTCATCAGACCCTAAATACCATGATTCTTTAGTTAACCTCTGCCTGGTTGTGTTTCTAGTTTATTTGGACTGCTTTGTCGTGCAAGCTTGCAGATGGTCTGCCGTTGTCCCAACCTACTCTATATGTTTGTTTGCCTTGGTTTTTACAAAGGAGAAATCTTCAGACTGTTCGGATTTCCCAGGTTCCTGATTATCCCCAGTCCCCATCAGGCCATATATTCGCCTTGGAGAGTTCCTGCCACTGGACATTTGCATTGTCTTAGCTCCATGGTCCCTTACTCCTTTTGTCCCGCCCCAGTCAGACATTAGTCCCTGTGGATCCCAAGCCTGGTGAACAAAAAAGCCCTCCTTTTACTTGCATGGCCCTTCACTGCCTTCCCAGCTCATCTCATGGATCAGAGTAGTGCAAGGTAAGGGATTTTAAAATGGAAGCTTGAAAGAGAAGTGGAGTAAAATTGTTCCCTCACCACACGTGAACTATAAAGAGCCACAGTAATTTGGAAATCGTCATTGGACCATCTCTGTAATATTCCTCCTTACAGCTGTCAAAGCTTTTAGATGACATGCTTTCATAGTTTGTGTTATGACCTCTTTTTCTCATACTTCTTTAAAGTACTCGAGGGCTGAGGCCAAGTCTTCAATTTCTGAAGTGCCCACAGCTGTTTGGGAGACCTTTAAGCAAAGGTGACCGATGATGGGAGGGCAGGCGGGTCCAGCCACAATATGTGGCTTTGACAGGGAATGCCCTCTGCCTGTGGTCTAACCTTATTTTTTGTTGCTTCAGCTTGTTGCCTACTGGGAAAAGACTTTCAAGATTGACCTATTCAAGCCACAGATCGGGGTGGTGAATGTGACAGATGTGAGTATCCCTCAGGAAAACTCGCTTTGTCGCCCTTTGTCGTCCTGTTTTCTGCCTGGCAGCCCAGACTGTGACACCACGTATAGGAATCTATCCTCCTCTGAAACGAGCAGGGCCCTTGGCTCTGCCCAAGCTCAGGAAAATTGCCAGTATGGCCCAAGCCTTGCCTCTGAGCCAGTCCCAATCTATGGAGTCATGATTGTCTTCCATGGGCACTTCCATGGAAATACATGGCCCATTTCCTTCCTTCTGGGGCCAGCCCGTCCTGTTTTACCAACTATTTGGAACTTTCCATCCAAGTATGCTGTCCTGTGTTTTCTCCTAAAGCCCAACAACAAATTTGTTTTATACAAAGGAACCCGCACGTGAAACTGCCATTGCACAGTGGGTGATTGAAGGGGCTGCAGGAGGGCAGGAGGAAGATCACGGAGGAGCAGGGGCCACTCCTCACCAGCAGACACCATTGATCTGAGTCTGAGAGAAGCCGGTGTGGTGGACTAGTGGAGCAGGAGGAGCTTTAGACCTCAGTCTCGATGGTTGATACAAGTCCACCATAATAACAAAAACAGAAGGGGAGACAGATACAACAGACAATGAGCAAATAATGGACAGAAAGAGATGGCCCCAGAGAAGTCACTAGAGCCATAATTGATTTGCAGTGGAAATGCTTGTGGATGTTAGCAATGTTATCCCGTTGGTAGGCATTCGGTCACCTTGGGAATTCTACATTTGTTTAGTCTGTAAACTGCTTTTTTAATTAGTAATACTGATTGATAATTTTTAAAACTTACTCAAAACATTTGTAAATAAAACAGTAGCCTATGGGGTGGAAAGCAAAAGTACTTCCCACTGCCCTGACCCCTTTCCTGGTTCCAGTTCCTGAGGGAGCCATTGCTGATAGTGTCATGGCTGTCCTCCCAGAAGTGGCATGTACGTGTTTGCTGTTGTTAGATGGGTATCTTGTAGATATGCTCATGAAATCAGAAGGAAAAAAAATGGTGTGAATATACTTGTGATTCATAATGATACTTGATTCCAATACCCCGGGAACTGCCCCAATTCTGGGCTGCCTCCCACCCTCCAGCACTTTCCACAGGGTCAGGCTCATGCTGGGGATAAGGAGGGCAGGCAGGTCAGGGTAGGGAGAGGGGTCCACCAGGCAGTGCTGGTGACCTGGAGAGACTACTCCAGGGTGGGAAGGGAAGGCAGAAATTCGGGGGGGTGGGGTTGGAGCAGCTGCTGGTCGTAGTGGGCTGGACCTGGCCCATTCCCCTGCCAACCCTCCACAGCCCTGCCTCCATACCCACTCTCCTTCCCCAGAGAGCCTTCTGTGCCAATTATACACACACACAATGGAAACACACTTTTCCTTTTACACTGTACAAGCAGGCTCCTACACACAGCATTCTGCATCGAGGCATGCCCGTCTAACAGTGCACACGTGTTCCTGATGACTGGGCCAGGCTGCTCGGAGCCCTCTGGTTTGGCTGGTCCTTCTGGCACTCACTTGCTCACTCTCTTGCTCTCTCGCTGTACTAGGCTGACAGTGTCTGGATGGAGATTCCTGATGATGATGACCTGCCCACAGCTGAGGAGCTGGAGGACTGGATCGAGGATGTGCTTTCTGGAAAGATAAACACTGAAGATGATGACAGTGAAGAGGGGGATGACGGGGATGATGACGAGGACGATGATGATGATGATGGCAATAATTCTGATGAGGAGTCTAATGACGACAGTGATGATGATGATGAGTAGCCCCGACCCCGGGTGATGGGTGAAAACACAATCACAGCTGCCCACTACCATGCAGACAGCACCAGGGGGCAGCGAGCAGCCCCAGCCTCTGCACACCAGCTCCTTCTCCATTTCCCATGCCTTTTCCCACCCTCTTCTCACCGGGAGCTGTTCCACTCAGCAAACGCCTCTAAACCCAGTAATCCCACTCAGCAGGGACTAGTGGGGAATTATTCCCATGTGGACTGTCTTGATTGTCTTGGAAAAGCTCTTGTTTTTTGCCAGACCGTCACTGGTCATGGCAAGGCCGGAACCTGGCGGTCGGGACAATAATCCTCTGACACCTCAACTCAAGTCTACTTGTCCTTGATGTGATAATAACAGAATTGACAGCCGGCAAACTCAAAGCAGAGAGTGACCTCACAGTCCGAGCCCAGGGAGACCCACGATTCATCCATTTAGCTTCGTGCCTAGAACATCAGTGATAATCCCTCCTTCAAGCGAGAGGTTCCCTCTTAGGAAAGGCTCAGCCTTGGAAACAAGTGTATAAATCAGGTTTTCTTGGCTCTATTAAACGTATTATTTCAAGGGTATGTCAGACCATTATGAATTCAGATCCAAGGGTTTGGATAGCTATCAGGAGGCCTTGATACACATGGGTACAAACGTCACCATCATTTCTAGCACGTTGGGACATAGGATGGGAGGTCGATTTGCTTTCTTAATTTCTTGTCAGTGGCAAGTCTCACATTATACACAAGGGGCTGGGGGAACTGTAAGGATGAAAGGTTTTAAATATTTTTTCTCTAGGGTTCATGCCCTTGATTGAGTCAGCTGGCTTCTTAGCCTGAGCTGGGATCTGGATACACTTTTCTGTTGCTGCTAGTGGGTGCTCCCATTGGGAGTGGAAGTTGGTTTATCCAGAGGTCAATCAATGCTCCATTTGTCAGCCCTCCCACACTTGAGCAGGACAATAGCTAGAGTTCAGAATGGTGCCCCGAGGCACTGAGAAAATCCCAAAGTGCCTTCCAAACTATCTAAAAGTTACATTGTGCTTAGTAGTTTTAGCATTAAGTGTGCTGATATTATGATGTTCTAATTTATTTTCTCAATCTTTTAACACATGTGTAAGACACTGTGCAAATTCTTTGGAAATAGGGTAATTCTTTTATGGAATAGTAGCCAACTAACTCTGTCATTAAACTTCTACTTTGAAAATATTGAGACTATCTTAAACATCCTCTTGGTTTTTCTGATCCTGCTTGTTCTCTCTTGGTTCCTGTCCTACATTTCCATCCCTTCTCTGTTTTTCTTTCTGGCCCCTCTTCCTCTGCCTGCCCTTTAAGTGAGAGTGTTTCACAGTATCTCTCAATTCTAACATTGTTCCAAGGTATTACCATCCATGCCCATCAGCTACCACCTTTGTGCTAATGACCTCCAAGTCTGGGTCTCTAACCTTGACCACTCTCTCGAGTTTTAGATGCTCTCATTGATCTTGGTTTGGATGTTGCACAAGCAATTCAAACAGCAGAGCAAAATCCTAACTCATTTTTTTAAAAAAGATTTTATTTTTATTTATTCATGAGAGACACACACAGAGAAAGGCAGAGACACAGGCAGAGGGAGAAGCAGGCTCTACGCAGGAAGCCCCGTGTGGGACTTGATCCTGGGACTCTGGCATCATGCCCTGAGCCAAAGACAGATGCTCAACCGCTGACCCACCCAGAAGTCCCAAAATCTCAACTCATTACCTTTTCCCCTAAACTTCTCCTCCTCTTCATTGTGTCTCAGATTGGAAGAGTGATATCACCACATATCCAATTGTCTAGGTGGTCTGAAGGGACCCCCTTCCCTTCTGCAACCATGGTATTTTGTGCATACCCCCAAGCATGGAAATTGTCTTTTAGATTGTAGTACATATTTACATGTCTGTCCTTTTGCTAAATTGTAGGCTTCTTGGAGGCAAGGAATTTATTTATCTTTGTATCCTTAGCAGCTAGCACTTTGTCCAGCACAAGGTAGATGCTCATTTATTGAATTGATGGTTGACTAGTTGATTACCTGGAATACCTATGATTCCCCAGCACTATTGGATAACAATGCTTACAAGGCCTCCTTATTTTTATTTCTCCCCCTCATAAATCAAGGCAGACACTTCCCAAGGCAAACTATGCAGCAATCCAGTCAGATCCAACCACACTTCTACTAAGCTCTTGGGGGGGTGTGTGTGTAAATTCAAAGCAACCTTTGAAGCTAATCTTTCAAATAGCCAAAGAATGTAATCTGTCATGAAAGTGGTCTATTCCCCAGCTCAGAAAATTCTCTTGTTCCTGGAGGCCTGAGTAATATGCATTAAGTCTAAGTCATATCATGGTATTCCCATATTAAGAATCACTGAGTGTTAAGCTAGTACTATCTGTAGGTAGTCATGCTGTTTAGTTATTGGTCTAAACCTTTTTAAGCTGGAATTTTTATTGAATGCTTGGTATGTGCCTGGAGCACTATGCTATGTCCTTTACATGTATTATGTCATTTCATCCTTGCAAAGTTCTTATGAAGTAAGCCTTGTTATTATCCCCATTTTACAGATGAAGAAACTAAGACACAGAGGGCCCAAGTAATCTTCCCAGGGTCACACAAACACTGCACAGGAGTATAAGTGTAACCCCATTCCCATTTTTATACTTAAATCAAGGATTTAGACTAAATTCTTTAAATTAATCAAAGGATTCCATTTCTTTTCCTCAGATAGCATCCTGAGATAGACTCAAGTGAATTTCCCATAACCTCTTCTCACTGCTTATACCAAGATACTCTTTCTCTTTTCCTTCTGGAGGCCATAATCACCTTATCCCATATTGAAAATGTAGGGCAATTAGAACAGCAAGATCTGGCTGTCCTGTTGAGAAAAAAAAATCATTGTGTTATCAAGAATGCACAATCATTTTCAGTGTATTAATTAAGTCTTTATGTATTTGTGTGTGCCCATGCATGGTGGGGAGGGGCAGAGACTCCTTAGGAGTCTCCTAAGCAGACTCCTTGCTGAGCACAGAGCCCAATGTGGGGCTTGATCCCAGAACCCTGAGATCATGACCTGAGCTGAAACCAAGAGTCTGACGCCCAACTGCCTGGGATACCTAGGCAATCCCTTAGTGTATTCTTTAAAAGATAATATCTCATAATTAGAAATAAGTTTATCTTTTCCATAATAAGGCTGTGTACTGTCTAGGCCCTAATTCAAATAACACAGGAGGCCCATATTCGAAATATTGTCACTTGTCATAGACCATTACCAAGTAGCTTTTGATCAACCATCCTGATACATGGAGACACATGGACACATGCACCTCTCATAAGTGTTGATGGGTTCTGGGGCTGTGCCCTCCAACTTCCCACTCTCACCAGGGCTTCTCAACCCTGTGCAGTGAGCATCAGAATACTGTCTGCCCAGCTGATATAGAAAAGACAGATAGATGCCTGGCGCCAGCCCAGAGATCATGACGAGCCACCTCCAGAGCTAGAGCTTGACCATCTGCATTTTAGAAAGTGTCACTGGGAACTGACACAAGCCAGGGCTGGGGACCACGGCTCGTCCTCTCCCCCAGGTCATCTCTCCCAGCTCGTGTTTACCAACATCTGTCTCCAGACAGGCTTTCCTGTTTCCAAACCCCTCATTCCAACAGTTTCTCCTGGACAGTTTCATCTGCAGGTCCCAGAGGGCCCTCGAATCAACACGGCTTTGAGGTCTAAAGATCTCTCTAAAATTAGGTCAAGAAGTCAGATGTGCAACATTAATAATAATAAATAATCACCATTATTATAGAAAAACAGCAATTTGGAGACTAGAGATGAGTAAAATAGGCTTCCTAGCTTCCTACCTCCAACTGCAGGCCACCCAAGGGAATCGGGCTTGTAGAGCAGACCCAGGCCATTGCTGCTCAGTGGGCAAGGACGGACGGGAAGGAGAAAAAAAAAAACAGACCCTCCACAATAACTTCACCCCAAGAAACATGGACAAAGGGTTGTTGCCCATTAACCTGCTAATTCTATCTCTGACAAAAGTCCAGCAGCATTCAGGATAAGGTCCTTCTTCATAGATGCAGAGGAGCAGGGGAGAGACATACCCCTCCGACAGTGCTCAAGCCAGAAACCTTAGAGCCATTCCATTGTGTCCTGCTACTGCACTAATTGGGGGCATGTGCTGTGCTCTCCTCTGCACCCACCCCTACCAGGCAACAGGTTTTACAGTCTCTCACCTGGGTTGCCCCAGCTGCTCTCCCATCTCTGAGCCAGCCTGCATGCTGAGATCAAGTGAACTTTCTTTAAGATTTTATTTATTTATTAATGAGAGAGGCACAGGCAGAAGGAGAAGCAGGCTCCCATCAGGGAGCCTGATGTGGGACTCAATCCCAGGACTCCAGGACAAAGGCAGACACTCAACCACTGAGGCACCTAGGTGTCCCTCAAGTGATCTTTCTAAAATGAAAAGCTGATCATGTCACACACATGCTTAAAATTCTTCAGTGGTTCTCTATTCCCAGTAGGTGTTTAAAAAAAATTTTTTAAGACTAAGAGGCCAAAGAGCGAGCTATGAATGGAAAGGGTGTTGACTGCTGAATGTAGAGCTGTGTGCGTGTGGTGGGAGGTTGGGGAGGAGAAAAGAGATAGGTCTTATAAAATAGAAAGTCCTTGAAGCGTCTTTCCTGCCTATGAAGAAAGCAAAGTCTGAGTAGTGCTGATGCTGATGCTGGTGGTAGCTAGGCTCCTGGGTCAGGAAAGGATCAGACTAAATGGGGCAATTTCTGCTACATACTAGCAGTGTCTGTCTTGGAATTAGGGCGTCCAGATAGCTCATTGGGAATTATAGCATCCAGTTGTTATTCTTAGCAGAAGTTGGGTCGGCACCCTTAGCATCAAGATAGGGCGTCAGGTGTAGCTTTGTAATTGGTAAAAGCCAATTTCCTTCACAGGGCACTCAAGGTCTGCATGACCTGCCTTCTAGCCACCTTGCCAGCCTCATCTCTCACAAGCCTCCCAGCCACCTGCCTCCTCTACTCTTAGAACCAGAAGTTGGTAGAAGCTGCCTGGCTGCTTAACAACTCCAAGCCTTGCCTCATGCTCTTCCATAATAGAACACCTGTCTTTTCCCATCTGCCTGGCAAACTCCCAACTATATTAAGTGTAAAGTAAGGTCCATCCTATGACTATTCCGGTCATACCCAGGTGAACGGGCCACCTCATCCACTGAGCCCTCACTGTACCACGTACAAAGCTCTCTTACAGAAGCCACAATTTATCCTGCTTTTACTTATATGTCTTCTTCCCCCTAGTTGTCTCAAAGCAAGCTTAGGGAAAAAGACGTCAGCTAATTCTGTTCCATCCTCAGTGCCTAAGTTCTGATAGGTACTTAGTAAACTTGTTAGACTGAGTACTCTCTAAGCCCTATACAAAGCTAATTGAACAGTGATTAGTACCATGAAGAACATGCTAGTGATTATCAAAAGTTAATCAGCACCATTTTGGCAATGGTGTCATCTGTTCCGATTTGCTTCAAATAACAAATTGCGACTATACAAAAAATAGGAACGCAGAATCTCTTTGACTCAGAGAGGAGTTTCTGATGTGCAATGTTCTTTACTCAGGTTAGCAAAGTCCACTAGAAATACAGGCATCGTGATGAAGAGCAAAGTAGCATGGAGATGACAGTAGAAGTCCCAGGCCCCACTCTCTGGGAACAGAATGCTCCATAGCCCCCTAAGTATCCATTCATTTATTTTAATGTATTTGCAGACCCAAATGCTTGCAAGATGAATTAAGGACCTCTTTTGAATTAATCTGATATTTTACCCATCTGAACTCTTCACAGTAGTGATGGCTAGAATTGTTATTGTTAACCCTAGGATCCTTCAAAATCCCAATGATTCCCCCAAAATAATCATGTGTGATTAGGTTATAGCCAATAGCTTCAGCACTGAGTATGCCATCATGTTCTCATTTACTTATTCACTCAAATATTCAATCAATGGACCTTACAGCTTGTTTAGCACATGCAGATCACAGAAAGCAAAAATGAGTGGACAAGATGGAATGTCTGAGAAAACTCTAGGAAAAGAAATGGTTTAAAGTACCTTGTGCCACCACCATTTTGTCTGAAAATATTACAAATTCTCAGAACCTCAATAACACGTTCAGATGTAAATACAGAGAATGCACCCAAATGTCAAATGTAGTTTTGTTTTTCCACGGCAACATTAGCCTGTATAACTAGATGTTTGCATGACTTGTTGACACCAACAACAAATTGCCAAGCTTCTCTGGAAGCAGGGATACTGTCCCTGGCTGTGCTGCTGCTGGTAGGTCCAGTCTCTGGCACTGGGTATACAGGCAGTGACGTAATTGGTGCCATCTTGATATCCTTCCCTCCACTTCCATAATCTGATAGCTTATCATCTGATCATCTCAATACTTCTCCAAAATTCTATAGCTGTGTGATGGGTAATGAATGAAAAAAGAGAGGAGTCCTTGGTTTATGTCTGCAGCAACTGGAGTCTTTTCTCTAGCAGGGGTTGCTAGTGCAGATTTAAATTATGCATGGATTGGCCAATGGCCCAGAGAAATAGACCTTATGGATAATCTAAACAATGAACATCTTCAAATCAATTGCTATCTCTAACCCCTGTCCATGGAATAGGTTAAGAATTTGTGTCTTATCAGTACTCTATATAGATAAAAAAAGATAGCTGAGGGTAGCAGAAGGCAAGTTCCAACATTTCTTTTTTTTCTAAATTAATTTTAAGTAGGCTCCACACCCAAAGTGGGACTTGAACTCACAACCTGACCCTGAGATCAAGAGTCGCATGCAATACTGACTGAGCCAGCCAGGCGCTCCCACTGTCCCCTTCTCCCCACAACATTTCTGTCATATTATCAAGTTCCTTTTAAATAGACCTATTTTTAAATCAGTCAGTAACGAAAACTGAATTACCAAGCCACTCATCAGAAGATTCCAGTATTCACCCCCCTCACCAATCCAGGGTCTGATGCTTCTCTTCCTCCTTACTTGACTCAAAGATCTTTATTCACTTGCTGATTTACTCAAAAGGCCTATTTCATCTTCATTTCTAGAGCCTAAGATTTTAGTTTTCAGTAATCTATTCATTTAAAACATTCTCTCAAGCATAAAATGATTGCAACAGATTTTCATTACAATGACAATCCACTCTCAGATTCAATCTATCATAGTTATCTTAGTTTTCATAGAAACTTCACAGGTTGTCTTTTTTTTTTTTTAGGATATATTTATTTAAGAGGGGGAGAGAATGAGTGTGAGGGGCAGAGGGAGAGGGAGAGAGAATCTCAAGCAGACTCCCCACTGAGGATGGAACTTGATGTAGGTCTCAAATCTAGGACTCTGGGATCATGACCTGAGCTGAAACCAAGGATGCTTAACTAACTGTACCACCCAGGTGCCCCTTGATGGGTTGTCTTTAAGACAGTATCAAAATTATGCAAGTGTGAAAATGTTCCCTATAAAAGCAGACAACTTTTTAGATTGAAATACATGAAAAAAGGAAGCGAACCACAATTTGGGATTTCTGTTTATTTTTCAAGTTTTACAGTATTAAAAAATGTAACATATAAAATGTTTTACAGTTAATTGGGATGGAGGATCCAAAAGGGAACCAAATAACTTGGCTGCCAGGTACACCATGTCAGTAGTAGATGCTAACATTATTAATGATGGATGTCACAATGAAAAGATATTTCATTACATACACTTCATGGACATAGGTAAACTTACTTTCGCAGATGGTTGCTAGTAGAGTCATTCATTTAGATGTTTGAAATGCCTCAACAGAGCCTGCCACCTGTTTACGCAGGACATCATATTTAGACTTTCTCCTACAGATACAGTGATCGGAGTAGAGACATTAGCAAAACTGCCTCTCCTGGTTACAAGCTATAGTATTAACTACTGAGAAAGAACACAAGGACCTCTGGCCACATCTTTGCACATCTGGCCACATCTTTGCTCTATCCATCAAACAGAGCCAGATGGTTTTGTCACAGAACGTTCTAAGTTCGAAATCCAGAAGCAAAAAATTCTTTCAACACAAGAGCAATTGTCAAATAAACTTATCTGAAGAAGATTTGACTCAGGCCTCCCTAGTCTTCTCTGTAGCATCTTTGCCACTGCACAAGGTCTCATCACCCCAGTAAGACAATACCCACCTGTGCTCATTCTGGTTAGTGTCCTGCACTCCACACAATAGTAGTGCTCATAAACTACTTGGAAATAAAATTTGGTTAATGTCATCATTTAGGGGTCTCAGGGAATTTGCTATTTAAAGCCTCCATCCTGTGAATCCATTATAAAAATAAGGATTTACCACCAAGGTTTGAATTTTACATCTTTCTTTTTTCTTTCTTTCTTTCTTTCTTTCTTTCTTTCTTTCTTTCTTTCTTTCTTTCTTTCTTTCTTTCTTTCTTCTTTCCTTCCTTCCTTCCTTCCTTCCTTCCTTTTTTTGAGGATGATGAACAACATTAAGTGAACATTCCATTATTTCTGTGACCAAGGGGCACTGGCACATGAAAACCCACTGCCACCTCTTTCTACCTGGCCCCTGGAATGGTGACAGTGTGCAACGACACGAGTTAAACTAGACTCATCATCCACAGATCAGCTGCCTGGGTTCCACTGCTAATTCCCTGAGCAACAGTCACTGAACCTCAGAGATGAAGCTTTCCTAGGCTTTGGGCTCATGGGGAGCTTCAGAGCTCCTAAATGATCAGTTCCTCCAGAATGAAAACTCCTGTCATAAGAGAAAGCTCCGATAAATATAAGCAAACACAACACCAGACAACTATACATTCAAATATTTTTAAGCAAATATAATTTCAGTGCCCAAAGAAGTGCCGAAAGGCACTCTTACGATAAAAGCCTGGGGGTTTTCACATTTGCTCTCCAGGCTTAAGAGTATTTTTATCCTACTAAGACAAAACATTGGTGTGTTTTCAAGCTGCAAGACATATAAACTGTAGATTCTTAGTGTCATTTTGGAAGTGGCCTTTTACAGTACTGCTTCAGATATTAGAAGTCTGCTGTTATGCTGGGGGGACTCAAAGACAACCCATTAAAGATATTTTACAGGTGAAACAGAGCAAATTGGATTATCTAAGTAGAAATGGGATGGTGCATGGGAGACCCACGGAGTCCTCAACTTCCTATCTTATTAGTTTTATCATTTCTCTTCTACCCTTTTAAAATCTGTCCTGATTCCAAATGAGTAGCCAAGCTGAGGAATGTATCAGCTTCATTTTCCTGTGCTCTGAAGAAAATGAACAGCTTGAAAGAAAAGGGTAGTTTGTGCACAATGGAACAGAATCTTAAAGACATTAGAAGAGAGGAAAACCATGTTTTCAGACTTCTGTTTTATGTATGTTCTGTTAAAACTCTTGAGGGCAAATGTGGGGAAAAACAGTGGGATGTGAAATGCCTGCTGCGAACACACAGGTCAAGGAGGGAGGCCAGGGGACCCCAGTTCCAGACCTCTGGAGGCTGGGACTGCAGGTGGTGCCTTTACCACCCTAACCAGAGGGAGTGGAGCACCAGTGAAGGGTTCCTCAGCTTGAGAAGAGGCCAGGTCTGCCCCTGCCCAGCTCCCTGCCTGGGTTGGAGGGCCAGAGGGGCCAAAGTAAAGGACAGCTACCAGAACAACAGCTCCTTGGTCTATGTGTGGTGCTAGCAGGGCTAGTTTTCCCAGGGGAAGGGCATTCACAAATTCTTTCAATTTAGAAATCCTATGAAATTTGCCAGCACGATGGAGATGCTCCCTCGGCCCACAACTCTGGTACAAAATGGAAGAACGAAAGGGATCCCACTCCCTGGGAGGAACCCTCAACCCAGGTTCTGATTCCAGGTTAGGGGTCCTCAGCTCCCTTATCCACATTCCAAAATGCCAGCTTGTTTTAGATCACACATCAAGGTGCAGTGAGTGAGGTGCTGGAGTCAGACATTAGATTTGAAATCCCATTCACTAGCCAGGAGACCTGAGACAAGTCCCTCCCTCTCTGATCGTCCTCTTCCGCCCATTAAACTGAGAGAACTGCCTAAAAGGAGTTCATGTTCTAGAACAGCACCTGAATACGTAATACCTGATAAATGTGCTGGTACTCTTCTCTTCCTTGTGTGGCCAGAATACATCTTGTCAAAAACATGATCTGAAATCTAATGTTCTCAGCATCCACTTGGTTAAAGGGCAATACAGGCAACTTCAATGTAGCATCTAAACTACCTTGGTTCACTGCTGCGCTGAATACCATTCAAGAACTGTGCTATGGGCTTAAAAACAATTCATATTTTATTTATGATGGAATATGACCAGAAGCTTACATAGTAAAATCACAGTCGTGATTTTTTTTGTAACAAGATCCATAAAGCATAAATGCTACCCATAAATGCATTACTTTACAATTGCAGGATCTCTGCTGGATGACTTAAATATTAACATTTCTGTGCTACTTTTGATAATCAATCTTATTTTTCTTTATGAAGCTCAACTTTTAAGTTATATTGAAAAATAGATAGTAAGGCTTCCAGGGTGGTAAAGTTGGAGCAGTAATTATCACAAAGCTTGACCTTTCTTTCTCTGTTTCTTGCTGTTTTCAGGCCATAGGGTTCTAAGGCAAGAAAGAGTCTAATGGATTGCCTGCAGGACATCAAGCTTTCCAGAAGACACTTCTATGCTAAAGCCATTTACTCCTGGGGAGAAGCCAGTGTAACTGCCAGGACGGAATAAAGAGCCAGGGGAGAAGTAAACTGGCTTTAGAGCAGCCTTCCAGAAAATGGGTGCTGTTAGGAAATCCCTCCCCCATGGGCCACAGGCAGAAACACACTCTGAAGACATTCACCCATACAAACACATGTCTAAGTTACTTGTTGAAGGGACACCCACCAGCTACACACAACACAGAGGTTCCAAAGGCCTCACACATAAACGTGCCATCTGTGTGGTAATTCGACTCAGAGCCATGCACACATATATATGGAAAACACACAGCTACCATTTAGGGAGACTTGCATCGCACGATCCAGCCAGAGGGAGTGTGAACCAAGGATCTGATTCTCTTGGTTTCACAGAGACTAACCCTTCCCCAGGTGCGGGTGGGAGGTGGGGGGAGGAGGGGCAAGGCAATGATTTACGCCATCCTGACAGGCTGGGGGCTTGCCACAGAGCTACAGCCTCATCTAAATATGCCTGCAAAACCAAGAGGAGCCCCAAGTATGGTGAAAGGGGAGGGGGACACCCCATCTCATCCTCCCCAACAGCAGCCCAGCCACCACCACCTCCCTGCTGGAAAGGAGCTCCAGCTCCAGGAACGAACCCCAATGTGACGCGTGCACGTGCACACACGTGCTCCAGGGCCACTCACCTCCACCCACTTCTATACAGAATTTGTCCTATCCGTAGACTTGAAAGGGGAGGACAGAGAGGAAGACAGGGGATGATGACAGCTGGGCAAAAACCTGCTCAAGCATCTTCTCAAAGGCTTACCTGATGAACTTTAGCAGAAACATTCAGCATTCTGACTTAACTGATTGATGCAAAGGATGGGAAAAGTATAACACCTTCAAGATCCTTCCAACTCTGAGCATGCAGACTTTTTAACATTCAGTTCACGGATGATTAAGAAGTATCATCCCCTTCAGAAGTATATGTTGAACAGCAAGTTAGCCACTGGTTAAGACACTGCCGAGGGTAGGGAGAGAGAGATCTCAGGCATGGGCTCCCTACAGGGTCCTCTCCACCAAACATTTTAACTTCCACGTTTTAATAACTGAGGTTGAAAGTCATAGAAAATCTATAAACATTTAAGGCAAATGAAATCTTACCTCCTCTCCTGTGAAGTCTCATGTATTTTACTAGCCCTAGGGCACTTTACCTGCTTTTTAAGAATAGCCTATTGGTTCCAAGAAGTGAAATAAAAATGCTTCGCGCTCGGCTGTGTGACGAGGCTTTCTGAAACCTTCAATCTTTTTAATGCCATTTACATTGTTCCCACTGCACCAGTAACTCAAGTTATTAAGATTTTCAAAGTGCAAAGCCTTTATACAAAGATCCTACATTTTATTTTGTTATTCTTTCAAAAGGGACTCAATACAAAGTCAGTGTAAAAAAATCAATATCCAATTTAAAAGCGAAACAATAATTTCAGAAAGTCTTGACATTCTCCTATGTAAAGACTGGGGGGAGAGACAAGGGGGTGGACAGAAAATAAATTCCTTATTTTAAACCTTTCTTCACCCTGCTGGGAATGAAAATAGGCACCAAAGCCATGATTCCATCTTCACCCCTTCTGGCCTGGTAGCTTAAGACAGGGTTGGAAGCACAATATTTTAGGGTGCAAATGAATAGTGTCATCACGAACTCCATGTTCTGTATATGCACCACAGCAACTACTTATGGCATCTTCAGCTGCTATGCTCCTGATGCAGAAGCCTGTGACACACTTAGTCTGGGACATCATAACTGTGACCCAGCTAAGGTCCCATGCACTTTGACCATCCCTTGTCCTATCTCCCCAAAATATATTTCCTGAGAAAGTCATCATCATTGTAAGGAATGTCCACTTCAAAAACTAAGAACAGAAGCACCATGGTTACATGGTATGTGTTTTCCATAAACAGGACCACGTAGTTACATAGCACATCTTGGCTGCATGCCACACCGACTGGTACCTTCCTTCTATTCCAACACATCATTTTGAGCTGCAGGCTTTTGATTCAAGAATGCTGTTCGCTTTTTCAGGTACAGGTGTATTAAGAAGTATCCAAAGCCAATTCTGATTGTAAAAAATGATACACAAATACAGCACCCCTTTTTGGAATGCACAAACCAGGACGGGTACTTGCGGTCGCAAAGAGCATTGAGACAGTGTCTCCCTTTTCTAAAGCGAGGTGACTGGACACCCCAAATCCCTAGGAGAAGCAAGGGTTAATACTCTGGAAAGGTCTGCCTATCCAGTGGATACAGGAAGGCAAATGGAGGCACAGGCGGGAGTGCCCCTGCAGCAGGGCTCTGCCAAGATGGCTTGCCACCTACCCCCCGGCCATGGCTGCTCCCCCGGGCCAAGGCTGAGCCTCCTGACACCAGCTGCATTTAAGAAACAGATCACAGATGAATCGTTTGGGATCGTAAGATTGGCTCCCCACCTTTCCCTTCCCCTAGCTCTGCTGCTCACCCACTCTCTCTCCCCACTTTACCAAGAACTACAAGGAATTCTAACACCAGGGCCAAAGTAGCCCCTTCCCTGGTGGCTGAGGTCATGAGCTGCACAGTGATGGTGGTCAGAAATCAGGGACCGGACAGCAGCGGCTGTCACTGCAGTGGGCACTGTTTGGTCTCCCTTGGCAGGGCAGCTTGCTATGAAGCCTTGCGAGGGCTTAGCTCCCCGGGGAAATTAGAGGCTCCAGGCTGCACCTGCCAGTCCCTGAGTGGCAGTATCTGTCTTCCCCTAGGTCCCTGTGAGCAGTGGGGAGGACAGGTGGGAGGGGAGGGGCTCCTGCTGCCTAACAGGGACACTCTGGCAGGCTTGCTCTCCCAGTGTTCTCCTTGGTTGGCATTCTAGGCTTCTTTACGCAGACAGTCCGTGGCACCCGCTGGAGGCAGCACACAGGGCCTGTGAGCACACAGGAAGAGCCAGGTCCTGGGCAGCTCTGAAGGCTGGGCTTCCCCGGCCAGGGCTACCAGTCAGGTGGGAGTGTGGTGTGTACAGGGAAGGGTGGATGGCATGAGACGAGTGGGCAATCATGGGATCTGCAAACCTACACAAACAGGGTCAGAAACAGGACAGGTAGGTTTTCTCTGGGGGCAGGGGGGACCAAAATCAAATCACTGAGAGCTGTAAACAGTGCACATTTTTTGTTGTGACCTTTCTCAGCAGAATCTAAGGCAACAGAGAACAGAGACGAAGGCAGGTATTTCTGGAGCAGCCCCGGGGCTCCCGTGGGTGACGTGGAACTGGACGTTTACACACCCAAGCACGTACATGGACGTGTCATGTCTGGTTTCCCAAAACGGAATGAAGACGTGTCCCGCCCCCGGGAGTCTCGGAGGGGTCGGACCAGAAGCGCCAGGAGGGCGTGATCCTGGATGAGAGGTGGGGGGACCAGCTGCTGTAAGGCGAGGCTCCCAAGGACCACCTGCTCCGCTTTGGTTTACAGCTGTCACACAATTGCCAGGGAACCGCTTCGCGAGAAGTCCCATCCACGAAAGTTAGATGTCGTCCGTCACTTTTTTCCAGGGTGGACATCCCCTGCTTCCTTCCAGATAAAGTGCAGATGGTCGAAGGATATTGGTTTATCATCTGCCAGTTCCAGGCAGCAATGAGGAATAATAATAATAATAAAAAAAAAAGATGCCCCTCTGGTATACATATAGATATCTCTCTCTCTCTCTCTCTATATATATATATATATGTATATATATATATATTCTTTTTTTTTTTTTTGTAATAAAGCCACACATAGAAAACTTTTAAACCGAGGTCTCGGACTGCAAGCGTAGGACAAACTTGTGAGATTTGGGGTCTATGAACTCTTCTGAGAGCACGATGAATGGAATTCTCTTCACATTGACCACGAGGCTGAAGTCCAAGCATTTCAGGACGAAGACGATTCCGTCCCGCAGTCCACTCGTCACGGCCTCGTCGCTAACCAGCCTCCACTGCGTCGAGAGCCAGCGCTCCTTGTCATATTGCAGGGTAGGGCCCGCATTGAGGTAACGTTCTAGAAAGGCCTGAGAAAGAAGGGGAATGGCCATTAGAGAAAAAATAGCCTGCTATGCTGAGGGCAGGGCTGCAGGGGCGTATCCACCTTACACTGATGGAGAGGGTGCCCAGCAAACCAAGACAGAACCCAGCCAATCCCGCCGGATTCCCATCAGACCCTCCCAAGGGGTCCTTGCTGAGTTCTTGTTGGGGGAGGGAAGCCTCCCTGGACTTGCTCATTCCCCTCTGCTGACTTGCAACCAGAGGTGGGGCAGGTGGGGGGCTGGCGGCTATGTGTGCCCACAGGCCATCTCCGAGGCACCAGTCTGGCCAAGGCACGGCTCCAGGGCACATGCCACTTGTAATTGCACTGCGTCTCCTGCTCCTTCACAGAAAGCTGCTTTGGGCAAAGGGCCGGCCACAGGGAAGGCATGCTCTGCAACTCACAGGTTGTCTCGGGACAAGGCACTAGACCTCCCTGTAAGTGGGGATAGGATCAGCTCCTAACTCGGGCCCCAGGGTGGCTCAGGGCATGATCCCAGAGTTCCGGGATCGAGTCCTGCATCTGGCTTCCTGCCTGGAGCCCGCTTCTCCCTCTGCCTGTGTCTCTGCCTCTCTCTCTTTCTGTTGTCTCTCATGAATAAATAAAATCTTTAAAAAGAAAAACAAACAAAACCAAAAAACAGCTCCTAATTCACAAGGCCACTGGCAAGGATGACGTGGTTGCCTCTAACCGTCTAATGGCACAAGGTAAAAGCCCAGCCAGTGTGGGCGATGGTGCTTTCCTGTGGGGTCAAGTGTGCCCGGGGCAGGTCGGAGGGATGCCAGAGCCCATGTCCCCATCCCTCCCATGCCTCTCCTGCTCCAGCAGTGCTTAGCTTGTGGGAGCTCTTGGATACCCCCTGCCCTCCCACCACCCATGATGTTCACATGCACTGTTCCTCCTGGGCCCTTAAATTTCAGACCGCTCCCTGCATCTCCGGGCAGAGTAACACACCTCCTCCAAGGGCTTATAATCATCAGTCTGAGTCCCTTGTGACATTTACATCCCTAACAATTGCGTGTCTGTCTCCCACACTGGACTACACCCTCCTGGAGGGCAGGAACTTTTTTTTAAATCTGAATTTCCAATGTGCCTGGACGTAACAGGAGCTCAATAGCATGTGCATTAAATCGATAAATATGCTGACTTAGCTGTAAGAAAAGAGAAGAAAGAATGAGCCAGTGATTCAGACAGGATATGCTGGGATCTATCATTCTGGTCCTAGACACAGGTCAAGGATGCTTTCTGTGTGGTATCCTCTTCCATCCACACCTCACTGCTGCTGCCAAGGACATTATTTCTGACCTGTAAGCATATATTCTAAGGCAGGAAGTAGAGCCACGCTGAGGCGTGTGTGTTGAGACACACTTCTAATATAAAAATAGCTCTTATGAATCATAAGAAAAAGATACAGCTCAGCAATGAGAGAACTAAAATTAATAAGATAATTTATAGAATATTAATAGAAAACTAACACAAGAAGATGTTCTATGACATAAATAATTCATGAAATATGAATTCAAGTAACAAATTTTTTTGTCTCTTATGTGGGCAACGAGTATAAAAAGAATGGCAACAGCCGATACGTCAAGTAAGTGGGGGAAAGAAACAGAGTCACATCCCAAAGGCTAACGTGTAAAAACAGTGTCCCTTTGAAGGACAATGTAGCAGGATCTGTACCCTTGATCTATGTGTTCCTCTATCAGAAATTTATACTTTGGAAATACTTGCATGGATGCACAGAGACACCTGTGAAAAACACACTTGCGGCACCACTGTTTGGATGAGAGGTTGGCAAACTTTTCTCTAACATAAATATTTTCAGCTTCGCAAGCCACACTGTGTCACGACTGCTCAACTTGGCCTGTGTAGAGAGAAAGCAGCCATAGATGATGTGGAAATAAAAGGGTGTGGTTGTGGTCCAATAAAACTCGATTATCAGAAACAGTCAAGCCCTGATTAAAACTAAGGAAAGATGTTAATCCAAGTGCACGTTGTAAGTAAGCATCAGTCACACCGATTGATCGTGGTGTTCAGTAGGATAGGATGCAGCTATTATGGAAAGAGTTAGAGCTTTATGACAGGGGCCTGGAAGTACTGACAGGGAAAAACAGTACAGGGATAGTTTTAAGTAAAAAAAAAAAAGTAAGCTTCCAAGTTCCGTGTGTATATGTGTGTGGTATGAACTCCCATTTGTGGTTTGCTTTTTTTTCCACCTCTGCTTTAAACACACACACACACACACACACACACACACACACACCTCCAAAAGCATATGCACCAACTCCTCATCACCGAGAACCATTTAGGGTAGGAGAATGGAAACTTCCCTTTGCACGTGATATTTTTCTTTTTTTTTTTTAAAGAATCATTTATTTATTTGAGAGAGTGCATGCATGAGCGTGGGGGGAGGGGCAGAGGCAGAGGGAGAGAGAATTTTAGAGCAGACTCTGTGCTGAACGCAGAGCCTGACGCAGGGCTCGATCCCTCGATCCTGAGATCATGACCTGAGCTGAAACCAAGAGCTTGCTGCTTAACTGCATCACCCAGGCACCCCCATTATCTTTTTCTTCAATGCCTGATTTTTACACAAAGAAAGGGTATCAATTATTTTTAAGTCAGTAAAGTATACACTTTTTAAATGGAAATGGAAGCAACAAGGAAGCTAAAAGATTAATATCGTGTTCATATTTTTTTTGCATTGTTTTTTGTAACTTAATATACTAACAAAGGGGATCCCTGGGTGGCGCAGCGGTTTGGCGCCTGCCTTTGGCCCAGGGCGCGATCCTGGAGACCCGGGATTGAATCCCACGTCAGGCTCCCGGTGCATGGAGCCTGCTTCTCCCTCTGCCTGTGTCTCTGCCTCTCTCTCTGTCTCTCTGTGACTATAATAAATAAATAAAAATTTAAAAAAAAATATACTAACAAAGATTCCTTCTATTTTTAACAGGTGATATGCCATAATAATTTAGAAGCCACTGTTCTATTTTTAAGTTATGTCCAGTTTGGAGTTATTCCAGATTATTTTGCAAAGCACGTATTTTTGTGTATGCATCCGATTGTGCTGAGCACTTTTTCTAGGAGAGGGATTAGCGAGTCAAAGAATATGCAAAGCTTTACAGATTCTTACTAAATATTTCTGTATTGCTTTCCTAAGGGTTGTTACTGAGGAGTGACAATGCCACCATAGATGGTACACACACAGGGCAGTGCATGAACATGGGTCCTTATGACAAAAGCCACCAAACATTACATGTGCACTATATGCCAAGCTCATTTACTCTCTAGCATGTGACTGACATGTCATGTTGCCATATTTAATAAAATTTTCACACAACAACCCTATCAGGAGGATCCTACTATTTTCCCCATTTTATGAAAAGAGGAAACAAACATAGAGTGACTTCTACAAAGATACAAACCTATCAACTGGTAGAGCTAGGATCTGAACCTGATGACAGGCCATTTGCTAACCTGATGATTCTATTGTTTCCTTGGCCACACCCTCTCTTAAATACATGGCTGTCTCCTACCAGCATCCCTAAAAGTGTGCTCATATAGTAATTCAAAAGACCATTCGAGTAAAACTACCTCCATGACACCGAAAATCCCTCACCAGGTGACGGCATCCTCTCCACCACCAACAGCCATGTGTTCAGTCCTTACCATATGATGGACATGGTTTTAAGCCCTTCACACAAACTATCTCTTTTAGTTCCCACAACAACCTAATGAGGTACATATTACAATTAGCCCCAGTTTACAGAGTAGGAAAGTGAGGCCCAGAGCCATCACACTGTTCGCCCAAGGACACCAGCTCGTGGGTGGAGGAGCCAGGTTAGAATGAGTCAGCTCAGCTCCGGAACCCAGAGAGTTCTACCTATATTGACTCTCAAGTCCAAGTCTTTCCTCTGCCTAAATCCAGAGTCTGTCAAAAGGCAATTTGAAAAAAACCAGTTGCACCAAAGTAATATAAAGTAAATGGGAGTTGCTAATCCTCATGAGCTGGTGCTCTGGAGAAGCCATGGACTGCACCACCCCCGGGCCCCCCTGACCACGGGACCTGCCGAGCTCGGTGGTAGGCCGCACCTTGGGGGTCATGCTGTTGGTGATGCAGAAGGCCAGGTGCTGCAGGATGCTCTCCATGCTGTGGTAGTGCTGCTGCCGAGTGGTACGCAGGTACTTCTGCAGAGCCCGGGCCATGGAGGGGAAGATGGCCTGGGCGGCCTCCCGTGGGTCCATCACCTCCCCTGGGGCTTTCTGCTGCTCCTCGGCCTGGAGCCGCTGGATGTGGATGAAGGCCTCCTCCACTGCGACCACCAGTCTGGGGGGGTGAGGACATGAGACAGTTGTTAGGGTAGTGCCTGCCACAAGGCACTAGGGCCTAGAAGGCCTCCTCCCCACCTCTGTGTCCCAGCCTGCCACCAGCTCACCCAAGCCTCCCCTCCTTAGTGGTTATGCCAGATGGCTGGGCAGGGAAGGAGGGAGAAAGGAAGGCACAGGGGGAGGGGGGCTGTAGGGGTGAGATGGAGGGAGCCCTGGGACTAGGAGATTGACCTCTGTCCTCAATTCTGCCACTAAGGGGGGTTTGGAGAGCTCGTTTCAATCTTTCCAACTCTAAAATGAAGGGTTAGGTGAAAAGGGCTCTAAGATTCCTCAAACTCTGGCCCTGCAAGTACCGAGAGGCGGGCGGCTGGTGATACAGAAGCAGCCTGCAAAGAAGCAGAGTTGTATCCCCCTCGATCCAGCCACCCACACCAGCAGCCCCTTGGGAAAAGGAAGGAAGAGGCCCAGCATCCATGATGGGAACCAACTCTGTCCACTTCATGTTAACACGATCAGAACCTTAGAACCTGCAAGGGCCTGGGGGTGGACTAGGGGGCTGCTCCAAGCATGGGCCATAGGAAGTCAGCATCAGCTGGGAATCTGTAAGACATGCAAATTCTTGGGCCCAACTCCAGCCCCACTAAATAGTAAGTCAGTCACTTCTGCAGGTGGGGCCTCAGAGCCTCAGATCTGTGCTTTAAGGGACGTGTGGGTGGCTCAGTGATTGAGTGTCTGACTTTGGCTCAGGTTGTGATCCTGGAGTCCCGGGATCGAGTCCCACATCAGGCTTCCTGCATGGAGCCTGCTTCTCCCTCTGCCTGTGTCTCTGCCTCTCTCCCTGTGTCTCTCATGAATAAATAAATAAAATCTTAAAAAAAAAAAGATCTGTGCTTTAATAAGCCCTCCTGGTGATGATAGTGCACACGAAACAATCGAGCAGGAACACTTCCAAGGCTCGAGGAGCTCGCGTTTATACACTGAGATTTCATTCTAGCAGTAAAAAAGATAAAAAAATCAAAAGTCTGCTACAATAGGGTGTTGGTGTCGGGTGCGGGGGGCAACGCACCTTGCTCTCCGCTTCTTCACCCGCCGCTCATGCTCTGCCTCTTCATAATACAACTCGTTGTGGCTTGAATCTCTGCGCCGAGCGGCTGCAGCGATCATGGCCCGGGACTGACCGGTGGCATTGTTACTGGGGCCTTTGGGGAAGGACAGTGGAGGAAGAACAGTTTTAATGCCAAGAGGCTGCAAAACAGCAGGAAACTAGTACCATGGTCTGTTGAGACCATCCACCCACCTTCTGAGAGGCACATACACAAATGTCAAAAGAAACTTCCAAAAGGGTGGATGGTACTCCTGGCTCACATTCGGTATGCTCATGAGAAGGAAATCTCCCCCAAAACCCAATTTGATCAGTAGGAACGGAAAAAGAACTCAGAAGAAGATGAAGAATGCCGGACAATGAAAATGTTGGCCAAAGATAACCCACAAGAGAATGCTGTAGAGGTTACTCACCATCTGTTACATAAAGCTGCAGTTTGGCCATAAGGGTAGCTGGAACATCACATTTCAGCAACAAGACAATGAGAGAGAATGAGAGGGATGGGGAGAACAAGCACAGAGAGAAAAGAAAGTCAGGGGACACAGAGACACTGATTACGCACAGGACAATAAGCCATGCTGGAATGTCACCGGAGTCACAATTGTAATAAAAAAACAAAATACTTGAGGACTTGCAATACGGCACGTCTGTGAACACAGACTCGCAACTCCCCACCCTGGTCCCCTGACCACAGATCACCTTCACTTTTCAGAAGGACAAAGCATATCACACGCTTTCTTCTGTATCAACTATTTGGTTAATGGTTTGGTTTCACCAGTGGGAATTTTCAGTAAGTTTTCAGATCACAGGTGACGTTTACCAACCCTCTGGGAATTCCAACTGAACACACATCTTATAAAGGCCCCCCCTCCCAGTCACCCCCCACCCTCGCCAAAATGGGGAGGGTATCCTCAGTAAAAATTGACAACCGTCCATTGATCACGTGACTTGCTAACACTATGATCCTCTTTCTAGGCTCTAGAGAGCTCTTGCTCTGACCCAAGACACCCAGCAAGAAATGACACTGTGTCTTGTTTCTTGCACTGAACCATCTGATAGCCTGAGATGCAGCTCTCATGTCCTCGGCTTGGCCTCTGGCCTCCTGCCACCCACTCAGCCCCAGCTCCCAGCCAGGATTGAGAAATCCCTGGAAGTATCTCACCAGATGCCTGAGCTACTGAGAGTTACTGACTTCATGGAGCCTTTAAGTAACTGATCCAAAATTTGAAAAGCAGCTTTCCATAGATGTTCCCAGCAGGAGGCAGGAAACACACATCACTATTGTTTTCAATCAGAAAACCCCAAAATGAATGAACCTCCCACATGTATAGACTGTAAATCAACATTCCTTTGAAAGTATATTTGCCTGCAGAAAGAAAGAAGGAAAGCAAGCAAGCAAGCCAGAAAGAAAACAAAAAGGAAAAGAAAGAGAAAAGAAAAAAATTGTTCTGAATTGACAGTGTACCAGAAAGACAGACACTGAGGGGAGGAAAAACAAAACGGGCCATAAAATTTAAGCTAAAGAGTCGTCCAACCTGTGCCCCCTACACCCACCAACCACAGACACCATTTCAAGGCACGTACCATCTACATTGTAGACTTTCAGCCCGGCCATGTGCTTGGCTGCTCGGAATTTGGAGGCTGTTAGGAGATTGGGGTTATAGATGGTGAAATCTTTATAGTAATTTTCCAGAACCACCAATGCTGCTCGCTGGATACTGAGAAAAGAGAGCAAAATTAATGCAATGCTTTTTCATTGAAGAAGCAGGTCCCAAGTGACAACAAAAATAAATCCTCTTTTGGAGGGAGGGAGGGCGGAACACTACTGGTAACCTCCTGTAGTGGCGGGCTCCTGGCTCTGACCATGCCATTTGTCTCCAAGATGAGACTTGAAAGGTGAAACTGAGTTCGGTCATCAAGTGGCTTCTTGGCCTCCTCCCAGGCTATATCCACCTCATCTAGCCAAGAGTTGAGAAAGGAATCAGTTGTAACTTAGGTTTGTTGAGGCTGCACAGAACTTTCCCATTTCTCCCAGTTTATAGAGGAAGAGACGGAGGCTCCCGGAACGGTAAGAGACCTAAAGATGGTGGCAGGGCGAATGGGTGAAAGAACAAAGTGTAGACTCAGGTTTCTCAGGTCCCAGTACAGGGTCTCCTCTAAGCTCCAACCCCACCCCCCCTCCCGTCTCTTGCTGTAAGGAAGGCTGGGTTTTGGGTTCTACAGAGATCAAACTACAACTGTACAGGACACAGGGCAGGGGGCACACGAAAGCAGCTGGCTGTAGACATTAATGAATCCCGAGGTTCCATCCTCTGGGCTGCCCTGGGCCAGCTGGAGCTCCCTCTTTCAGAGAAAGCAAGACCCCCTTCCGAGCCCTCTGCTGAGATTCTGATCCTTCTTGGTCTGTGAGGCCTTCTGCCTCTAGGACTGTTGTCTCTGGCCCTCAGCTGGGATGAGGGGACACAGGGGACTCTCCTTGCCTTAATGTCCTTGACCTCTGCTGTCACCTGTTTGGCTCCTCAGACAGCAGCAGAGGAGCAGAGAATAGGAAACACCAACGGGTGGGAGGGCAGTGGAGGGGGAGCAACCATACTCCCTACTGGCAGCCAAAGAACTCACTCTTGGCCATAGATGTGGGCAACTCACCAGCTGGATGAGAAACTTGTACTAATACAGCACGGATTTTCATGCACCATCTTGTCTGACTTCCACAATCATTCAAGGTAAGAAAACTGAGGTTCAGAAAAATCTCTGACCAGCACACAGCATGCATCTACCAAACAGGAGAGCTGCAAGTCCCATCTGGATTTACAAGCCCCCAACCTGCGCTCTTTCCCTGGGATGTGTGATCTCTGTGGGACAGTGTGCATACCGATGCCAACTCCACTCATTTATTTTTATTTATGTATTTATTTTTAAAGATTATTTATTTATTTATTTATTCATGAGAGATAGAGAGAGAGGTAGAGACGCAGGCAGAGGGAGAAGCAGGCCCCATGCAGGGAGCCCAACGTGGGACCCGATCCTGGGATTCTGGGATCACACCCTGGGCCAAAGGCAGACACTCAACCCCTGAGCCACCCAGGCATCCCTCCACTAATTTATTTTTACCTTGCCCTTTATATTTTCCTCCCTAGACCTGCTAAGCAGGTGTGGTTATAAGGATTACTCACAACAGCCTGGGAGCCAAGATGTAGCTGCCTTGGGTTCCTGGATGACCACCCTAACACTGCATAGCTTGCGTATGTTCACTTTATACTGAGACAACGCAGCCTCTAACCTATTGGCTGGACACGCTGTCAACCCATTGCTCAGCTCCTGTCGTTTAGCACGAGATCGAAAAACGATCTAGAAGTCAATCAGCTAACCTCCTCGAGAGCAGTCATGGCAAAGCTTTCTGAGTTACCTCCCATGGTGCCTCGATCCACAGTCTTGCTGCTTAGTACCGGCCTTGACCTGCACACTCACGGGGGGCTGGAAGAATCTGGCGAGACTAACCCTGTATCATGGAAGTAGAAGAGCCCTACAAGCAAATCCACATTTTCAAAGCCCTGCTCATTCATTACCCAGTTGCTCATCACCCGTTTCACGCTGAGTGCCCCCATCTGCCCAGCCCTGGGCATGCAAAGACAGGACGCCAGGAACAGCTCCAAGGCCAGGCAGCTAACTGGAATATGCGTGGGTCGGGGGAACGTGGAGAAGAGCTTTGGAACACCCAGCCTCAGGTGGGTGCAAGAGTAGCTCCCCGAACAAGGGAAGGGGCCCCTAAGTTGAGGTTTCATGTCATAAGTCTTTGCACACAAGTCCCCTCTGTTCACGTGCGAGTCTGCCCAGTGGCTTCCAGTTCAGTGTGGCCTAGTCTCCTCCTTGACCTCTGACTCTGGTATTTTCCAAAGTGGGGCCAGCCCTTCTTCTTCTCCTCCTCCCCCTTCCATCCAGAGACTCTCCATGGCCCGATGACACATGTGCGCACACACATGAACTTGCCATTGTAAGCACATCTCCCACTCCCCACCCCCTGCACCGCTTCTCCGGAGGCTCCAGTCTTGGTGACACAAGATGCCCCTCTACACTGAAATGCCTCAGTTCATTGCACACAGACATGCTGGGGTGCAGATATTTCCTCCCACGCTTCCATATGGACATGGAAACATCTCTAGGCTCCTGGATTCCAGCAGAAAATTACTTCCCTGATCAAAATTTAAAAATCAAAAAGGCGACTCAGGGATTATTCACAGGCCTGTCTTCAAAGCAACCCCCCCTGTGGTTGCTGGGGTTGGCTCTTCTGTTCAGCCAGGCCACAAAGAGGAGCCCAGGGGAGCCCACTAGCTCAGCCAGGGCCTGCTAGACGGGTGAGAGAAAGCTGGATGGGAGCCTGGTGGCCCTATTTCCCAACCTCCCCACCCCAACACCACAGACAATGCACTGTGCTGCCCAGAGGAGGGGTGTGTGCCCATGCCCAGGGCTGGCAGGGCTTCCTAGGCTGGGGTGCACATCCCACACCCTTTCTTCTTCCAGCGCAGGGCAAACTGGGGCAAGTCCACGGCCCCCTAGAAGCCCACTCACGCCAGAGCCCTGGTGGCCCTCGGGAGTGTTCAGGGATGGGGCAGGGAAGATGGGCTAGGAGCTGCCCATGTCACGTCTGTGGATCTCATTGTCTTTGAGAACCTCTGCTCAGGTGAACTGGATGAGGGGAAGAAGACAGGCAGGGCTCGCTTCTTCCAGCACTGTCATCTCACCCAGAAGCAGAGTGGACTGAGCCAGTCCCCAGGCTGATGAGCTACCCAAGAGCTGAGTGACTCTCCCGGGAAGCTTAGAAATGCTTCTGAGAAGGCTGTAGGCCCTCCCTTGCCTATAGAAAACCATCTGTGCAACACCCAGCAGATCTAGCAAATGTCAAGCTATGAGAAACTCCGCACACCAGAAAACATGCATAACTAAGTACCCAACTTAAATAAAAATGGTTGTGAAATTTGCATTAAAATCCAATATGCCAAAAAAAAATTCAATATGCCTTTTTTCACCTTTTTAAAGAGTAAGCTATATATGACTTAAACCTTGCTGGTGACTCAGGATGGCTGTTTCATGCATTAATTATGAGCTGGGCCAAGAAGGGAGCCAAGGGAAGATGTCAGACCCCACAGGAGACAGAAGCCACCTGTCCCACACCCCCTCACTGCAGGGCAGTCTGAGCACTGGCTGTGTCTTCACATCTTTTCTTATTCCCTCTGACGATGGCAATGGCGATCACAGTCCTCCCTAGGTGCCGTAGACTCTCTGACTCTGGCAAGCCTCTTTCTATAGAGTATAAACAGGGAAAAGTGCTTCGAGGGACCCAAGGGAGGAAGCCTGCTCCAGCTAAGTGATACCTGCCGTGGCATGGGGAGTCTGAGTTCTATTTCAATCCAAAGTCTAAGGTCTTTTTCATTTCTGTTCTGGATCCTGATTCATGCTGTGGATTGACTGAATTTGTCAGATACCTAACTGTAGGTTCAAAGTTACATGCTACTAATAGATCACTTAGCTTTCCAGTAAAAGAACGACTTGGTACCCACTGAGGGGACATCCTGCCGGGCACCTGGCATTGGCCCTCAGCCATGGCCCACAAGACCAGGATGTAGGAGCACCCTTCTCCTTGGCTAAGGTCAAGGGTCAGTATCTTTCTGCCTCTGTTCTTTGCCATCTTTCACATATGGCGTCTTCCAAGGCCAAAGCAGGCCCAATATCTTTTAGGAACCTTTTCTGACCCTCTGGCTTCCACTCATTTATCCCTAACTACACAGCCATCAACAGCCACCACACAAGACTCGAGAGGTCCTCCAACATGCTACACTCCCTCTTTTGGCCATGAAAGTCCCCTGTACACAAGGGACACCTCCTACAACTTCCCCTAAGAACATAATACTCATTTGGCTCAACTTGGTCATGTAGGAAACCCAAAATTCCAACAGGTACAGGATCAATCCTAAGCATGTGTTTACTAAAACCATGGGATTTCCAAGGCAAGAAGGGCCTCAGGGATGGAGAAAAGCAAACCCTTCACCTAGTCCCAGTCTTCAGACCAGATCATCTCTAGGGAAGGAGGGAGGCAAGAAAAATCAAGTTGGTGAGAAACCTACCATCTCTTTTATCACTGTCATATTCCGAGAAGTAGTAATCTAACTAAACAATCCTTACGTGGAAACCCTGCATTATAGGCAGGAGGAGGCTGATGTACAGATTGTGGACATGGCCCCACCAAAAATCCACGACAAGGAACATCCTCTCGAGGTAGAGAATGCTAGTATGTGTTCCGACCTACCATTCCGTAGCACCATCCAGGCAAACACCTCTTCACAGATCACATGTATTTGTGGAAAACAGCACAGTGATATGTGGAGCTGTAACGGACCTGTGCACTGATAGGACTCCCAGATATGTGCATGGAGGGAAACATGGATGAGGCAATATTTAGGGTCTGAAGAAGACGAAGTTATTGCCAGTGTGAAAGTGAGCCAGTCAAGTCTGCCTGGCCCAGGCTGATCCCAGCGTGAACTCACGGAAAAGACAGGCTAGCAACGGATCAACACACGTCCAAGGCACTTCCACGGCCACTTCTGAAAGTGCAGCTCACTGCTGACCATGTGGCCCTACTTGTCTATTCTCTTTTCAGGACAAAGATGGTGAAACAAGAAGGCCTGTGGCCTTTTGTGGCTTATCAACCACGAAAACATCTCCA